TTTTTATTGTTAAACACTTTAAAGAGGATTTTTAAGTGGCTAAACTAAGCAAAGTTCTGTTTTCAAATTTTTGTGATTTTTGGTGTGATCATCATCTAACTATACTGCAGACAGTCTACTTTTAGAAAAAAAAAAATCTCTTTTAATAAGCTTCAAGTCCATAATAATTAAGTTTAGGTTTATTGAGGAAAAACATAAAATTCATCTTAAGTTGTGTAAAAAAATTATGTCATTTTTTAATTCTATCACCAAAAGTACTCGTATTTTCAGCAAGAATGACTACAAATCCACTCACAAGTCCTTTAAATTGTTTTAACAATGAAAAATTCTACGTCCGTTAAAAATAATTATTCTCTTTTTTCTTTTTTTCCTGGGAAGTTGTCAATTTATTAAGTTGCTTGGCAATAATAACTTCCAATTATTAACAATACGAGTATATTTTTAACATTACATGTTAACAGTCTAGTTTACGTTTCGGGACCTTTTATTCCCATCTTCAGAACTGCAATTCCAATACTCTTGTGGATGCAAGGCTAAAAATTTTTTAAGTTATAATATTGCGCTTATTACATTACATATTTGTATTATGTTTGTTACAATAAATTTGTAATTACCTTAATTCTAATGATAATAATAATGTGCTCCATCGTCAATTTTCTAATTTATGTTCTAAATTTTATCATCTAGAGCAACATTCTCCTTTTGACCAATAATTGGGTTTCTGCCATAGTGAAAATTTGAGCTTTGGATCTAAATGTTTTATCTGACTATTTTGATTGTTGTTATTAGTGTTATTTTATGTGTCTGTGATTTCACTTCTATTAAATTTTAATTTTGTTCAATATGTCTGTATAATGGGTTCCTAAATGTTTAGTGTCTGTTTTGTAGTTGACTGTAGTTCTGTTGTTTTTTGTAATGTGTATTGCTTCAAGTAATTTTCTGTTGGTGTTCTTTGGTTCAGTGCCAATTATTTGTAGTTTGTTGAAGTTAAATTTATGCTGTAGTTGGGAATGGGAATAAAAGGTCCCGAAACTTAAACTAGACTGTAACATGTAATGTTAAAAATATACTCGTATTGTTAATAATTGGAAGTTATTATTGCCTAGCAACTTAATAATTATTGTCTAGTTTACAGTACAGTAATTTTTAATTACTTAAATTTTTTTTTTTTAGTTTTGCAATCTATTCAACAAAAACGTGAGTTATTTAAAAAAACACACAACACTGTAATTTTCCACTTTCCTGATGGAAATCGTGCCATTGTTTATATAAACTTTTTGTAGCTATTAAAATCTGCTATCCCTCCTTTAAAAATGTCCCTGTACTTACGGGACACCCTGTATATATTGATCTTGGAAGAAGTAAAATATATATATATATATATATATATATATATATATATATATATATATATATATATATATATATATATATATATATATATATGTAGAGAGAGAGAGAGAGATTTTACTATATATATATATATATATGTGTGTATATATATATATATATATATATATATATATATGTGTGTATATATATATATATATATATATATATATATATATATATATATATATATATATGCTTTTCTATTTTTTTCATGTTTGTAATGATACTCATTCACATTATTTTTTAAGATTTGAGAATAGATGTGAAGTATAAAATTTATAGGAAAATCACGAAATCGAAGTTCAAACTATAACTATGAAATATTAAATTATGCATACGATAAGTGAAAACACTGCGAAGTAATGAAAAAAAAACTGGTTGGAATTGAAAGGGATTACCATTACCATACATAACGAACGAAGTGCATTTCTCACAGTTTATAGCCACTTAGAGATAAGTTATTTTACTCTTATCACAGAGGAAAGCATAAGTTAACAAAATGCATGCCGGAAAAAGACTTACTTTTTTTTTCTTCGGTCATTATAAGTGAAGCAGGTAACTTTTTTTCTTCCACACTCGCCTTAGAAAGTTGAAACTTCCTTTCAAATTTTTTTTACAGGTGGTTGAGTGGTATTTTTCCGTTCGAAAAATCCATTTGGTTCTTCGATCTTCTAAAGTAATAATAGTAAGATTTTTTGTAATTATTGAAGAGAAGTTAGTTTGAGTAATCAGCATTACCGGATCCATTGTTTAATTTTGGGGGAGGGCTTCAGCCCGAAAAATTTTGTTTTCATATACATAACGATAATTACTTTTAAAAAAAGAGAAAGATATTAACTACCTATATGAAATGGTGTTTAAGTGATTCTTGAAGTCCTATTAAATGTAATTACAGGAACAATAATACTTATTTTTTCCATAAAACATGGTTACATTTTACCATTGGAGGGGGGAGGGGCTCAGTCCGAAAGCCCTCTCTTCCCCCCCCCCCCCTCCGTAGGTCCGCCTGGTGATCAGTCAAAGAAAGAACAAAGTACAATAAAAATAAATAATTATATTAATTTTATTCACTTCGTTCCAATGTTTCGGTCTAAGTTTCATGCCTAAGAAAAGACAAAATGACTTAAAGAATATAATATGATAATACGACGATAACAGTAATAATATATAGTTAGTTATAAGGTGTAATCCAATAATATGGAGGTAGTGTACGTGGAATGATTAATAATTGATGCAAAAATAAAAGAAGTGTAAGTAGCAGTTAACAGTGGAGCCCACCCCCCTAAGGTCGATGGCGTACGTAACTCCACCTCTCCCCCCCTAAGAAATTTTATTGCTCCTCTCTTTTTAAATACCGTGCAAATACAAAAATCTTAGATCTAGATCGTAGATAAACTTTCCATTATTCGTTTTATTTATTATTATCATACTGTAAATTGTTTTATTTAGACAAAATATTGCTAGGTTTCTTTTATTGATAACTCATTAGATCGTAACTTGTAATTTATAAAAAGAATTTGATTTTATCTTTTTAACTATAAATGAATATGTATTTTTATTTCCTGTTTATCACACTTTGTTTTGAATATTTTGGTTCATAAAACAAAAATGAAATAATTTTATTTCATTTTTAATCCTTCCTTTAAACAGGTATGTATTATTTTTTTAAGATTAAAACATTTTGTAGGCACATTAGCAAAATTCAATTTTTTAAATTTTAAATTTCTTCACTGCTTATTTTATTTTTTAATACTGCATATTTTCTATGTTTTTACTTCATATTATATCGCATATTTTTAGTAATAATAATAATGTTTTATTTATTCTCAGAAAAGTCTCTTTAGAATAATATACAGAGATAGAAATGTGGACTTTTTAGCCTCAAAAATCAAACAAATATAAACAATAATTTAAAAAATTATAAGTTTTAATGTAACTTTATCAATTAAAAAAATAAAAATAAGAGTGAAATAAAAATATTTAAAATGAGCTAATAATTGATATACATTTTTACAATTTAATAGAGACTGAACGGACAGGAGTTGATTGAAAGGAGTGATTTAAAGGTGAGGATGATATTGGAGGGATAGAATTACATAGGGATGAGGATCGGATAATAAAAGATTTGTCGAAAGCAGCGGTTTTGTGAGCCCTTGCAAATAAATCCGAAGAACGGAAACGGGTTTTGCGGGAGTAGACAGAGAATTTGAATTGAATGAGTTCGAAGACGTATGAAGAATCATGGGGTTAGATGACTTGGAAGAGGAAGGATGCCAGGAAGTACTTGCGACGGTAGGAAGGATAGAGCCACTTCAACTGTTCATAAAAACAAGAGGGGTCTTTTGGGATCCCGAAAATGAATCGTACAAAGAAGTTTATCAAATGTTTTATTTTAGCCTAGAGATCCTCAGAGATGCCCCCTATAACGTATAGCAATAGTCAAAATGGGGAAATATTAAGGAAGTGATCAGGAATTTACGAGTTTCAAATTGAAATAGGTGGCAGAGGCTATTTAAAATGCACTATTCAGGAAAGGGTTTGATCAAAGGTTATTCCAAGGTTCTTAACGGTATGATAAAATTTGATGGGGTTATCGTGTAGGAACAAGGTTGGGATTTTAGGAACAGGTTTAAGGAGGTGATTGGAACCTATCAAAATCGCCTTGGTCTTCTTCAACTTCAACTTGTTAGCATCCGCCTAGTCACAATTTCCATTCCTCTTAAAGTCTTTGGTGTCGGCTAATAGGTCAGAAGGGGAGAAGAACGAGTATATTTGGAATTCATCTGTAAAGATATGGAATTGTGATATTTTATGGGTTTTACAACATAAAAAAACGGGTTGGTACACGGAGTTGAAGTGGCTATATCCTACTTCCCGACGGCAATTCCTACTTGATGTTTTTCTTTTTCAAGTTCTCAGACGCAAAAACCCTCCCTACATCTTAGAACTACTTACTTTACGCTCCTCTATCCATTCTCTCAATGCCAGATCTCAACATACAGATTTATATATCCCCTCCCTTCAGTAAATCCTTCGCCATTGGTGCTAACTCCTTATGGAACTCCTTGTCCATCTCCATATGTCAAACCACATCCATAAACTCCTTCAAACAACTCCTATTCCACCACTTACTACAAATTCAAATTTCCGTAAGCTTGTAAAAATTTCTGGGTTATATAATTACATTGGTCTCCGGCAGTTAATTGACAGAAATCATTTTATTTTTGTTCATTAATTTTTTTATATCTCAGTATTTTATTGTATATATATGTGTTTATCGTTAGTATTTTTATAGATATTTATATTTTCCTTGGTACTTTTATTTTTTTATATATATTTGGATTTTTCTCAGTATTTTTGTGTGTGTATATATATATATGTATGCTTACAATTACCTAGGTATTTTTTGTATATGTGTGTATAATGCTTACATACCAGATTGATGTACATATTTTGTAAACGCTACTATTATTCTAAGGGGACTTCAGTCCCAGAATAAAATTATTTTACATTTCATTTTTTTAAAAAATCGAGAAATGTTTATAATATAATTATTCTGCCTCTTCCATCTAATGTTTTTTTTAAATAAATAAAATCTCTGTAATTAGGCTGCACAGCAGTGTTTAAGCCGTCGCAGCACTCGACCCTCACCACGCTGCACCTGGCCGAGCTGATGAAGGAGGCAGGATTTCCCCCAGGAGTGGTCAACATAGTTCCTGGAGGAGGCGATGTCGGGACTGCACTCGCGGTACACCCTGATGTCGACAAGGTGTCCTTCACCGGATCCACAGAGGTGAGCCATATGTTCATGCAAGTGTTGAGAAAGTAAATAGACACACAAACTAGATTTATAGTTAAGACTGTCTAATTTATAGATGTATTGTATTGGCAAATAAGTTCATTCGGTTTTTCAGAGTGAAATAAAACTTAATGTATTATAGTCATAAAATTTATTTTAATCTACAATATATTGACTACTGTTGCGCAAAATCCTAACCTATCTGTTGCAAGACCAAGACCAAGACTGGTAAAAAAAAAATCGATTTTTTGAATAAACATTGGGCCGAAATAGGTACCAATACTTGACAATTTTAGTTACTATATGTAAAGAATTGGTGTAAGCAATATACTTTTGCGTTTAACTCTTATAATTTTTCATTCAGACTTAAGTTTCTTCTATCTAAAAAATTACAGTAATATATCTCTAGTAATAAGCTAATACATAACTGCAAGACTGTTGCGAGACTTAGACCAAGACTGAGTTTGCAAGACCAGGACTCGTCTCGGTCTCGCATTTCGGCAACACTAATATTGACCATTATTTAATATGATTTTTTCCCATCTTCCCAATAACTGCATATTACCATGTTCATAGAATGTCTAGAGTTTATTGTTATTGTTATTGTTATATCCAAGTGGTTTTTGATGCCCTCTTCCTTTTGAAATTTCTTCCCATTCATGGAGTTCGTCAGAGACCGAAATAAGTTGTAGTCACTTGGAGCTGGATCTGGTAAATAGGATGGTGGGGCAAAAGGTCCCATCCAAGGTTCAGTAATTTATTGTGAGTGACCAATGAGGTGTGGGGCCTAGCGTTGTCTTGGTGGAACACAACACCCTTCCGATCATCCATAACTCTTCAGGATGTTTTCCAAATTCGACTTCACTATATCCTTTTGAGAGCTGAATTGTTGCTCTTTTACGCCGTATGAATGTTTTTTTTTTATTAAATGCCTACATAAGGAATAAATAAACAAAAACACTTTATAGTTTGTTTTTTTTATCTCCATTTGTAGTTTGTTTACGACGGTCCTGTTGATGTCATTTTTTGTTTATGTGGTCCTAAATTCTTGTAGATAGCTAAAGTCGTATTAAAGTTAGAACATTATTTGTAATGAGAAACCCAAATATTAAGCCTGGAAACAGCCGAACTTGTGCAAATCTCTCGCACTGATTGGGTGCGATTTTGATGAACAATGGTCTTAACATGCTCGTTTTTATTTGATGTAGGCGACCAGACCGTTCATCATCATTGATGTCAAAATTTCCTGAATGAAATTTGGCAAACCAATTTTGACAGGTGCGCTCGGTTAAGGTATCAGCCCCATAGGTACTACAAATTTTCTATGAGCTACTGAAACACGCTTACCTTTTTAAAATAATACAACCTGATAATGAATGATATTTTCTTCCATATTCACAGAGCAGTAGCAAACATAATACTAAGCTAGTTTCAAAACAAGTTAACAGATATAGTTGTTGACATATTACAAACAGAATAAACAATCCATCGTGGGGATTAATTCATCAGATAAGAAGTGTATCATAGTGACATAAAAATAAACAGAAAAATTGAAAGGACTTATTTGCCAACCCAATATTATACATGGTCCAATATTATTGTCTGAATACGTAGAAAAGGAAAACACCAAGAAAGAATTGCCGCCGGGACGTACGGTAAAATCACTTAAACTCGGTGTATCAGCAGGAAACATGAGAACGTCTGGAAATATTAAAGATGTATCTAATGAAGCAATTCATGATTCTAAAATGGAGATCGGTAAACTTTGTCTAATTAAAGACTTATTAAAAAGTGATGATCATCTATTTGCTTTCCACTTGAATCGAAGATAATTTGATCACAAAAAGGTGGCCTTTAAAATTATTGGTCCATTTGGCGTGACCTGAATCTCCAAAAAGAACGAAGTTATACAGGAAAACCGCTTGGTATTTTCAAAAGCCACATTTTTCTCGAGTTTTTAATCAAATTATCTTACATGTCAATTAGAAAGTAAATGGGTATTATTGAGCTTTTAAAACCTTAAAATTGATTAATTTAATGAAAATACGCTTTATTTCATAAAATTCTCGTAGATAAAAAAGTTTTAAGTTAATAATTAGACAAAAATCTGGTGCAGTACGCGCATCACCCAATTTTCACTTACCACCCACTTCTTACCAGAAATAACAATTTTCAGACAAAGAGAAAGTGAAAGTAAAAATCATAAATGCTTTATTGATTTATATTTCATTGTGGATATTTTTATTTCTTTAAGTATCCTTATATATACAAATTTTAATATTTATATCGCTGTAATCTATACAATCCAATATTAAATAATACCAACGAAAACATTTAGGAAAACCGCATATGTATATGCACATAATAAGCACATAATTGTCGGAGTCCGTATTATATTAAGCTCATGTTACTATGGAAGCCAGTTTTAATCTTTGGGCCCGCTCGTATCTCTTTGGTTCGTTCATTACAACTATTCTTTGTTACGATCTGTTATTTATGCTATAGTTAATTATTAAATTCATTAATATTTTATATTCAATTATTTTTTATATTATAGATCAATGTAAAATGATTAATTGTATCAAATAAAAAAAAATTAAGGTACTTAAGGGGAAGTCAATATTGAAAAATAGCCATTCAAACCCTGTTAGAGAACATCAATGAGAATAAAACCTATATAATATTTAAAACTGCTTCATTTTACACTAATATAATGAATTTAATAAAAACTGATGGAGCCGTTTTCGAGAAAGTAGTAAAAATGTGTTTCATCTACGATATGAAGTGCCACTTTCGGTTAGCCGATTTTGACGAAAAAGTTGCTGTAACATCTCAGGTATATTCAAACCTTAAATATGCAATTTCACTTTCATAAGACTTTTCGCTTTTGAGAAATGTCACATACATTCACATAGACACACAAAGACTATTTTGCGGGAATTGTTTATTATCACTCAAGAGAACTCAAAACATTTATTTCCGTTGAAACTCAGATTCGAAAATTTTCACGATCGCGATACTGTCCCTTACTATATATTTCATATATAAGTAAGTAAGTGAAAGTAAAAAGAGTTCAGTACAGTATTATCTAAGTATTAGTATTGCCGACAAATAGGCCAATGGCATAGTTCTGTCCATGAACATCTTGCAATAATATCGAATTCAGGTGATTGAAATACACTAATAAGTGTCTACTTCAAATCATGCACTGTGTACAAGTATATGTTCATGTACTATGCATTAAACCTTGTAATTAGATTTTAAATAAACAAGTTATAAACTCGAAATGTTTTAGAACTTCTAATGGTTGAAAACTTGTTGTCGTCTAAAACAAAAAAAAAAAAAAAAGATAAGGATAACATTTTTTGCGAATGAACAAAGGAGGTTCATTGAATAAGAAGGTTTCCTTGTTATAGTTTTTTACTTTCCTTGAAAATCGGTCTGAATGTCATGTGTTCGAAAAACCTTAAAAGTATTTTTTTTAAGTCGATAATAACCGTCTGCAACGTCCCGTTATCTCCACGTTATTCAACATCGTCGTATAGAACCCGTTTCAGGCTCTCAGGGGCGAAGGATTTTGACAAACGAGGTGTCAAAAGAAAAGAAAAATTCATGGAGAAGTTGCGAATTCAAATTTTGATCCTTAAATTCATACAACTTTTATAAGAATATTAATATAAATTAGTATCAAAGCAATAAAGAGACAGAACATAAATGTTAGGTATAATTTTAAAATCCACACCACATAGCCTGATGTCCCCAAAATGCAGATAAAGAAAATAAACCTGTCTTTTTAAAATTTTTTTTTAAAATAATCTGAATTAAGTGCAGATTTTTAATTATTATTATTATGATCTTTCATTTTATTCATACAAAATGGATAAATATGGACTATGGAAGAATTTAATCAATATAATAAAAGTAGTTTCTTAATAGATTGATAAGAAATTTCCACAATTTAGAGTAGTAAAACAGATGTATATACTTTTGCAAAGATAAAGATTTAGAAAAAATATATAACGGAGAAACAGCTAATGATTTTTTGTTGTAGCAGTTAATATGATTATGATAATATTATTAAATGGGAAATAAACATCTCCATATTAACTAAATAGAATTTAGTTTAAAAAAAAATGTATCGTAAACTTTATTTTTTTTGTTATTGAGCTTGGTAAAGAAAAATATAAAGCTCATAGAATTTTCACATTTTAAATTGATTCTTTAAAGTTTGAATTTATAATTAAAATACTATTCTTCACGTTTATAAACTTTAAAAAAATCAACTTCTTTTGAAAGTGGGACAATGGGGACAATGGGACAATGGGGTGAAAAAATTTCTGATTTATCACACCACAATTTTTTTTCAGCTAATATAAAAGGCCTCATTGTCAAAGTGACAGAATTTCTCAATTTACGTTAATTGTTTTACGAAAAAAAGGCTGCAGAAATTACTTTAAATGACGTAATGAACCTTCTGAGGGACACAAACGATCAAGTTAAAATGGGGAAACGAGGAGATGTGAACCTTGAAATAATCGGTGGAATGCTTTGAAATTGAGTTGAACCAACTAAAATCAAAACTAGAAAATTTAGAACGGTCACAAAACCTATTAAAAACAGCATTTAAAAACGAAATATCAAAAAGGAACCAAAATATAGATTCACTCCATGACACCAAATCCCATACCGGAAGGATGGTTGCAATAAAACAGCTGACCAGAGAAACGAACGACTGATAAAAAATATGCAATATCTAACCAAATATCATAAATATAAGAAAAAGAAAAAATTAATACATAAATATTACAAAAAAAACAAAAACAACTAAGGTGGTGCTTTAGACCACACGACAGAAGTGAAAATATCAACAAAGCGAGACTAATAATAATGCTGCTAAATTACATCTAAATATAAGATATATAAGTTTAGATATACTAGGAGCCATACTAAACTCGATACTTCATAGACTAGGGATATTTCACTTAAATGGAAGATTTAAGACTAGTAACCATTTTAAATTATAGATAAACCTCATCTGACAACACAACTTCGGTGAGTCAGTTGAAAGCCGATGCTTTATTTGCGAAAATTTCAATTGAATCGGCAACATTTGACGATTCGTTTAACGGAAAAACAGACGGTTGAAATTTTGATATGATATACAAAATATGTACCTAAAAGAATTCACCTGGGCTGACGATGTATTCGTTTGCCTGTAAAAAACTGATGCGTCACAGTCATCAAATTAGCCCAGTCGAATTATAGTTGTATGAGGAAAAAATTTAAATAGTAGGTTTTTCTTCGGTTTTTATAATATTATGGGATGCTGAATATGAATTTGATACTAATATATACAAATAACAAAGTCCTTCCACTGCCCGAGGGCATAAAGAAGATAAAATTTACTATCAATTTAATTTTTTTTAATGTAGAATCAACGGGTGAGGAATTAATTAATAAGTGTTTACTGTTTGCTTATTTCACAAGATGTATGTTTTCATCGATTTTTCCAAATAAACTCATAATTTATGCATCGCTCGAAGAAATTCAATATAATCAATTTGAAAGAGCATATTTCCTATGTACCTCATGTAGACATGTTAATATTTGAAAAGGTTAAGTGATTATCAAAGCGCAGGAAATTGAAGGCGTATTTCAATCGTAGTACGAATATCTGTCGCACTCAACTTAAGGCGCTTTTAATCTTTTTAATGCTTTTGTCTGGGCTGACTATATTTATGACAGATCAAAAATGTATTAACAAATTACACAACTTTTATATATTTTGTTAGTATGAGAGACAAAAACATTCATAATTGTTTATTTGTTTGTTGGAGTTTCAAAGGCGTAAAAATCCAGGTCATCAACACCTGCAAATCAATCTTGTTTATCTTTAGATTAAATTTGTATACAAATTTAAATTTTGTTTAATAAATTGTTTGATTTTAAGAAATTTAACACTGACTTTATAGTGACTGCGTCATCATTTAAAATATTTGGTATCGGAGGTGTAAGTCCTAGACTATTTAGATTTTATATGTAAAATGTAAAAAGAACATTCCTGTAACATATGTCTGTAAGTGTATTACTGCAGTGCTGACATTGTGGCGGTGGCTGCTTGCTAATGAGATGTGAGTGGGTAAGTTTCGTGTGACCTATTCTCAGTCTGGTTAAGACGACTTCTTCTCTGCGGATATGGTGATTCGATGTTGACCACGTCTTTACTGTTTTTTAAAATATTTTTTAATTTGCTTGGCGAACTCTCATTCCACATAGATTGCCAGCTATGAGTAATTTCTTATTATATCTTGCGGTGTTCCAACTATTTCCACGTGGCTCGGTACCCAAATAAAGCATGCCGATTTTCTTAGAGCTTCTAGTATATTTAGATATTTGTGAATTTTTAAGATGGTTGGATGTTTCAGATATAAATTATGCATCCCTTTTAGAGAATTTAGAGAGTCAGTTATTATTGTTAAAATATTTATAATAATCAGACAAATAACGATCGAAGTCCGAGCTCTCTAATGGCGTTTCAACTTTTCGTGCACTAATGATTATACCCGAGCATAAAAAAAAATTGATGCACTTTCAATTTAATTCAAGCTTATGTAGAGTCGTAAGATGCGAGTAGGCGAAATGTCGTTGGAACCCTCGGACTTAAGAATAATAATAATCATCCCCTCATATATTATTACAGTAAGGCTCGAAATCTGTTTTGTACCAAATATAAGCTCCTGTCATGCTCAAATACCATGAATGGGGTACCGTTGGATTCAGAATTTCACGGGTGGTTATCGAATCGTATTCTTCACTTTTGTTTTTCTTTCTAAAATAAATAAAGTCGATACAAACATTTTGATAGGCTTCAATACTGGAACGGTGGTAGGGCTATAGATCGATACGGGACAAATTGGATCTTAAAGATTTTGATGCGTACAGCAAGACCCGGATAGTTCAGAAGGAACCCCAAAAACGTAGTGTTTTCGAGATAACGCAAGAAATAGGGTTCGCATCCACACAACTTACATTAATTGTAGTACTGTCATTGAATACATGTCTCATTTGATAGACTTGAGATCTCTATGATCGAGAGAGGAGTTTATATTATTTATCTATGGTGTTTTTGATCGGCAAGCCATATCATCGTTAATTCTTCTAACCAAATATCAAGTTTGAGCCACCAATTTCGAAGGCTTTCTTCTCCTTCCGGCGAGCAAAATAGTCCAATCACCCCGAAAATTCAGGCAAACAAGTTATGAAAGAAAACAAACTTTATTTGCGAATAACTAAAAAATTACACATTTTCCCTTAGTTATGCCTAAGAGTAAATAAAATATTACTAAATTCCATACAAAAGAAAAAAAAAAAAAAAAAAAAAATCGTCGAAATCGGACAATTTTTACAAAAGATACAGCTTATTGAAATTTGTAAACATGTTGGTTCCAAACATTAATGAAGATTTAAATTAATTTTTGTTTTCCTTTGTGCTCCTTATTTATCGATAAATTAACAATTGATTCCTTTATCTTTTGATACGTTGCATTATTCTTTTTTCTTATTAATTTGGCATTTGATAACAATATGCTGTGCGAATTTTTCGCACGGGCCAACTGGTTACTTTATTATTAATAACTTCATGGAAGAACATTAGATATACTACTGTCATGGTTGCAATTATTCTTTTTTAATATAATTAACAACATCAAACAATGACAAATTTAGGAAAATACCAATAAATGTTGGATAATCCTGTTATCCAACGTTATAATTAATATTCTGTTATAATATCCTGTTGCCTAAAAATTTAATTAATATTTAATTCTTTGTTATTTGGCAATGATGGCTTCCAATTAACAACAGTTGAATTTATTTGTTGTATTTTCAAATTGTATGTTTACAAGTTAACGTTTCGGGATATTTACTCCCATCTTCAGAACTACAATCCAAATGATTTTGTGAATACATGGCAAAAAAAAAATTGAGTTAAAACATAGTGCATGTTACAGTACATGTCAGAATTGGATTGTTACATTAAATTTGTAATTACCCTAAATCTAATGTGATCCATCGTCAGGTTCTAAATTCATGTTATAATAAATTAAGGTATATAACATTCAGGGCAACATCTTGCTTTTAGACCAATTATTGGGTGTCTTCCATAGTGAATACAATTGACCTTTGGATATGACTGTTTATTTTTATACTATTGTTGTTAATGTTTATTTTTTATGTAGCTGCAATTTAATTTTTATTAAATTTTTATTTTGTTTAATATGTCAGCATAATGTGTTCTTAAATGTTTATCGTCTGTTTTATAATTTACTGTTGTTCTATTGTTTTTTGTGATGAGTATGGCTTCAAGTAATTTCCTATTGGTGTTTTTTGGTTCTGTGTCTTGTATCTGTGGTTTATTGAAGTTGAATTTATGCTGTAATCTTATGCTGTGATGTGCTAAAGCTGTTGTGTTTATGTTTTTTGTATTTTTACAGTTAGTAATATGTGGTGAAATTCTGTTCCCTAAATGTTTCACCAATGTAGATTTTGGGGCAGTTTTGACAATTTAATTTATATATTACATTTTTCTTGTTTATTAAGTCTATTTTATTTTTTGTATTTGTGATATGCCAGCTGAGTTTTTTATTATTATATTGTCCGAGTTTAATTTCTGTTGTCATAATTTTTGAACACGTCTTTAATTTTGTTAGTAAGATCAGATATGCATGTCATTTTGTAGTAGTAGTTAAAGTCCATTTTGTTTGTTTGTGACATGTTGTCCTGATTTTTCTCGTTTGTTGGATTTGTTTTGTTTTTTTACATTGGGTGGTGAATTGTTGTGTTTATTATAATTTAAATATATATATCAAAACTATGATTTTCATTTCAGATCGGTAAAGTTGTGTACCGAAATGGGTCTGAGACAATGAAGAGGTTGACTTTGCAACTCGCTGGTAAATCCCCCAACATTATTCTTCCCGACGCGGATCTCGACCAAGCTGTCGAACATGGACACTTCGCAATTTTCAACAACACGGTAATTTCTAACTCCTATTATATTCATCTTGGTCCCTTAATATCCATTTAATATTTTCAATAATTTTAATTAGGGTCAATGCTGCACTGCTGGTTCCCGAACATTCGTTCACGAATCCATGTACGAAAAATTTGTCGAGAAATCTATAGCTAGAATAAAGGCTGTGAAAATCGGGGATCCGTTCGACTTGAGCACAAATCAAGGACCTCAGGTGATTTTAATAAATTGCTATAAAATAATAAATAATAATAAACCTTTATTTTATATTAATATTTTTTTGCATTATAGACTACTGAAGAACAACTGAATATCATTCTGAAGATGGTAGAACAAGGGAAGAAGGAAGGAGCGAAACTGGAAATAGGAGGTAACAGAGTGGACAGGCCAGGTTTCTTCATGGAACCTACCCTCTTCACAGACCTGAAGGACGACATGACTATCGCCAAGGAAGAGGTCAGCGAACGTATTTAAGTACTGAAAATAATTTGAATTTTTTACAGATCTGTTGAATATTCTAATACTCTGTTTTTTTTCAGATTTTCGGCCCGGTACAACAAATATTCTCCTACAAAACTATCGATGAAGTAATCGAAAGGGCCAATAACACTGAATACGGCCTGGCCTCCTCCATTTTTGGCCAAAACATCGATCAAATCAACACCATCGCCCAGGCGTTGAGAGCAGGCTTGGTTTGGTAAGTTGACATTTTTTTTATGCAGTTTAGTTATATAGACTGTTCTGTTGTTATTAGCCATATAATAACTGATCAATAGACTAATTTCCGATTTTAAAAAAGTTAATGAGTGAGACAGTACCGTTTTCACGTTCTACGATTCGTTAACTGGCGCCCAAACAGGGACCTAGATTTATAATTTTGTTTTCATACTGCTCAGAGATCTGGGTTTAACTCTAGTAGTCAACCTATTTAATTATAGTTCAAATCAGTACATAAGATATCATATGTAACAATCCTCATGAACACCCTTCACCCTTCATTCTCACTATGTGATTCATTAACTGGCACCCGAACATAGACCTAGATTTATTAACTTGTCATACTCATTCAGTAAACATGAATCTAATTCTTGTAGCCAACCCACATAATTAAAGTTCAAAACAGTACATAAAATACTATATGTAACAACCATCAGAAATATAATTCGTAAAATAAAATTCCTGCAAGGTCCTCAATGACTCCGATTCGTTAACTGGCGCCCGAACATGAACCTAGATTAATCAACTTTTTGTCATATTCTTTTATTAAACCTAGATTAAATCCTTGCAGTCAAGCCATATAGTTACAGTTCAAGTCAATTTAGAAGATGCATATTTAACAACCATTCTAAACAATGTTTGCAATTCGTTAACTGGCGCCCAAACATGGACCTAGATTCATTAACTTGTCATAATCTTTTAGTAAATCTGGATGTAGACAATCCGCATGATTATAGTTCAAAACAGTTCGTAAGATACTATATATAATAACCATCATAAATAAAATTTACATTTCTAATATAATGTCTGTAATTTAATGTAATGTATTCTGCGATTCTTTAACTGCTGTTCGAACAGGAACATACAATCATAATCTTGTTGTCATACTTTTACTGGAGATCTAGATTTTACTCTTGTTATGAATAGTTATAGATCAAATCAATATATAAGATGCCATAAGTAACAGATATTATAAGTAAAAATCATTCTTCTTCAAAAGTCCTCACTGTCTACGAGTTGTTAACAATATAATTAAGGATTTATGGCGGTATCGGTTGATCTTTAGTCCCGTCAACTCCTGGTTTCCTCCCTTGTTTTTCCCCACTTCGACAATGGCTGTACGGCGTATGGTGTACTCTCGGGAGATTCCGAGGCCAAACATAAACGCCTAATGAATTGCGCACAAACGATTTGTTTTCGGAATCTCAAGGGATACGCATATTACCCAGTGTTACACTGAGTTTCTGTAACAGATCATTAGAATTCATCGACTCTCCTATATTTTCCACAGCTTACAATTCAAATACTCCATCCAATCCCGTCCCACTAGATCTCGTACTTCCGACCTCTATCTTCCTCCTCACCGAACTGCTGCGTTTGACAAATCCTTTCCGATACAAGCCGCCTCCCTCTGGAATTCCATCCCTGCTGATATTCGACACGCTCAATCAGTTTCATCTTTCAAAACTCTCCTCTTTTAACACCTGCTACTTTCTCAATCCGACTGATTGCGAAATATACTTAAGACAAATATCTAAGCATCCCCAGAGACAACCTCAATTTATTTAGATTATTTTAGTTTCTTTTATATATATATGTACAATTTCCTTGTTCTTTTCTTTCTCTTCTTCAGTATTTTTATTTTTAGTCAACTCTTATTGTAAATATATAATCTAATTGTAGCCACACAGACATACAATCAGTATTTATAATTTGTTCTAAAGGGACAAAAGTCCCAGAATAATAAAATATTTTTTCATTTTATTTCATCTTTTAGTCAAATTAGTCTTGTGGTAGTTATTAATATTATTATTATCATGATTATATAACACATTTCTTTTACAGGATCAACTGCTACCATGCAATACTTCCTCAGGCTCCCTTCGGCGGATACAAGATGTCAGGTTTTGGCCGGGAGGGCGGGCCTTACGGACTGGAAGAGTTCTCCGAAGTGAAAGCCGTCATCATGAAGACACCAACAAAAAATAGTTGAATAGACTTTTAAAGTACTCTGTCTTGTATTAAAAATAACAAGCGAATCATCTCATTGCATTATAATCAATGTTTGCTTAATAATTATCAATTTTTGCTAATGTCAAATAATATATGAATTCCATCTTCAAATTAATTGGAATTCACAGTCTTATATTTACAATTTTGGTTAATATCATCTATTGGTGAAGACTGATTTTGGATAACTGTTATCAATTCGATGTTAAGGTCGAGTAAAAACGTACGGTAACATCAAATTTCTCATTATGTAGATTAATCAATGTCTGTGATGTAGTTTTTTATTTTTGTAATAAATGTTAAATAATAGAAACATACCAAAAAAATAAAGAAATATGCGATATGAAAAAGTTTAAAGATTCACTATAATACATTTTTAACATATAATATTATATATATATTTATTTCGTTTCTATATATATGCTAATCTTTATTGTAAATATTTTTTTAAAATACAATATTCTTTTTTGTAAATAGTCAACTTTAATTCTTAATAGACATATTTTTATGTTTTATTTGTATCCTTTTAATAAAATGGCAATAAAAAAAAATTACATTATTTATTTTTAATTACATATCCTGAAATTATATGAATATTTTAAAAAATACATTATAATATGGAAGTAAGTAGTTTGCGTGTTCTTTGTCTTTATATTTTTCTTTTGTTTACGTTGATCTTAAAAAAAAAAAAGTCTGCCAAGTAAGGTCAGTATAGCTTGCTCACCATTTTCATTACCTAAACATATCTATATTACAAAGCCTAAATAAAATGAGAATAAAATCTCTGGGAGAAGCCGTTCCCGGAAAATCAGTAATTCCTCAACATACACGGGTTTGATATTCACAGATTTCGTTTATCACCTAATATTAAAATGTGAAAGAGTGACGTATTTGAAAATTACATATTCGATGAATCATGATTAAATTATTATTCCCCAAATTTCATCTAAGTTTAGGACAGTTTGAACGCTCAGTTTTCAAACTATAAAAAGCGTGTCAAATAATACATTTCCGGATTTGAAAGCGGAAGTTTTTTTTTCTGAGTAGTGAATAGAATTTGATGAAAGACATGAATATCTGTTTACCAATCCGTAACTTTCTACCAAATTTGAGGAAAATCGAACCGGCAGTTTCATAGATAAAGACGTATCAAGGAAAACACGTTTGCGCAGATAGAAAAAAACAAGTGTTTAAAATTTAGTAAAAATGACACTAAATTATTTTTATACCAATGTCTACCTTTCATCCAACTTTCAGCCAAATTGGACCAGCCGTTTCTGAAATATTGGCATATCTAAAAAAATACATTTGCGCGTATTTAAGCGAGATTGTTGGATGGAATTTGATAACATTTATATGGGACCATCTAGGCAACAATCCACACATTTCTTGAAAATTCATGGAAATGGATGAATGGTGGTAGATCGATTTGACTACAGATAGACACCGAATCAAATTTGATTCTTGATGTAAAACGCGAGTGGAAATTTTCGATTCTGAGCATAAAATTATTTGTAGCTTCTCGTACGAACACAGTGCTTCCCTGTCTTCGATAATAAGGAATCAAAAGAAAATATTCCATTAAAAGAGGACCTTAAATTTTTTACCTCGAAAATAAATCTACAGCTGGTCCCGAATGGTGTAGCTGCTTCACTCATGGCAAGGATGTAACAAAGTTCAAATAAATACATAAACAAAGAAGTAAAATAAAAAATGAAAACCACTAGCCATCACTCAAGAGAATAAAAAATCTACCACTCCCTCAATATTTCGTAAAAACTTTACCAACACAGGTTTATGGCCGCAATCTTGGAAGTAAACTCGAAATAGTAATATCGAGAAAGGAGGATCATCCTCGGGTGACTTCTGAATTTGATTCGAAATTAGAAAAAAAAAAATCTGTCCAGTAATATCGTAGCCACGGACGTCGGACAGAAAAAAACCCCTTTATTCAATTTTCGAATACTACGTGAAACGTAATATCTCAAATTTTGAGTGTTTAAATTTTTTAATTTTTTGTACCATGACAATGGTTCATTATTGAAATTAATGAAACAAAGTTATTAAATACTTTTGTTCTTCATGTTTTATAAAAAATGATTTCGAAGGTTCTCTGTGTACGATTACGAATTAGGTCAAATCAATAGACATAGGTCAAAGCAATAGACTACACGAGACAGGGGGAAAGATAAGTTAAAAGGACATAACCATCTCTAAATCGTTTCAGATGGTTAAGTCGACTAATCAACGAATACACTTTACACTTGTCATAATCACTACTGATATAGAATATTCGATAAATAAAATGTATTTCGTGCTATGTTGATAATGCCACCGTTGAACGATGTGTTCAAGGAATTTGAAAGAAGTATTCGTTTCCAAAGAATTATAGGGATGTCAACGTTGATCTATTCCAATAACAAGCTGCAGTCATCAAGAAAATGGCTCATTATAAGCATCATTAGCATCAGTGGAAATTTGGCAGTTTTTTTATATGCACTTAATTCGATCAGTAAGTCTTTAACTTATATCAGTGAGTGGTATAGTTATCTGAAAATCGCTTATTCTACTGTGTTGACTTTTGGAATTGTGGCCTCCTGGATTCGTAGTAACTGGAAGGTGGATCTCTTGAAGACATCCTTGTCCAGGATGAGAGCCGTGGACTTACAGATGCTCTATCTTGGAAAGGAAATGCCTCCTACAAAAACAAGCTTTATAACGATATTAATTTACGTATTGGTCATTGTGGCATACTGCTTCAAAAGCTCAGTGATGCCAACATTCATTGACCGCTTTCAACTCCTGATTCTCTACGCACCTTACGTTCTTTTCATTTCATATGAAGATAACGTCGATATGGTAACCTCCTTTCTTCGAATTCGTTTCAAAGCCGTCAAGAACCATCTCGTCGAATGTTTAAGAATGGACGGAAAGAAAAAGGTCCAATTTATAGAAAAAATAGTCCTCTGTTATCATCATCTCAGTGGATCCTCGAAGGACATCGATGAGTATTTTTCGGTTCAAGTTTTATCTTTATTGACTGTATTCTTCCTTGCATCATCATGTGAGCTTTACGCAATTTATATTATGTACAGAGATTTGGAAATGCCTTTCAAGGAAGTATTATTGACTGAAAAAATTTTATGGATCATAATTATGGTTACCATTATGTTACGGATTTGTCATCAGTTTGCAGCTATCAGTACTGAGGTAATATATTTCACTAAAAATACAATTTTATTAAAACTTGGTGGAGAAAACAAAAAAACAAAAAAATTAACCATTCTTAATATTTAATATCTCTTTTTGAATATTTAATAGTTGACCGTTGCATTATAAACGAAGGAGACAGTCCTGGGTAGCGGTCATAAATAGGCTAAATATTGGCAAAACTATTTCATTAAAACCCAACGTTTCGACCCAACTTTGCATGTCTTCTTCAGAGAAGTGTGTTCAGTTAGAGCTGAACTCAGCTAGAGTTCTAAGTGAAACTCCTAGTTGAACACACCTCCCTGATGAAGACCTGCAAAGTTGGGTCGAAACGTTGGCTTTTAATAAAATATTTTTACCACTATTTAGCCTATTTATGACCGCTTCCCCGGACCATCTCCTTCCTTTATACCTCATTTTATCTCAACTTAACTTAAAAAAGTCTGTGACCAAAAAAGGAAGGAACAGCTAATTAAAATATGCTGTTCTAACCGTTGTTCATGACTTGGTGAAGCTAAGAACCTAAGATGAAACTACAAAATCACTGTCGCACTTTTTTAATCAAATAAATCCGTAAGATTAGGATGGTACTAACTCTTTAGACGTAAAAAAAACAAATTATATCTATATATATATAAATGAATGTATGTCTGTCTGTCCGTCTGTTTGTTCTTAGTGCATTAAACCATTCAACCAATCGCCATGAAACTTTGGGAAGTTGTTCCGTACACTCCTGGGAAGGTTTCTGGCATAGTACTTCTGTCTTACGATAATTTTATATATGTAAAAAAAAATAAAAATGCAACTGTTTTTTTTTTCAAAGCAGCAAAAAATGTGTCGCTATAAACTGTAGCGCCAAAACGGCTTTACCGATTTTAACGAAACTTGGCTAAAATCTTTTCCTTAAAACCCTTTTAATTTATCTGTATAACATACTTTCCCGAAAACAAGCTGAAAAATGTTATGATGAATTTAATATTCTATTTGCCGATAACTAAAAAAGTAAACAATTTTTGATTGATAATACCCATATTTATTTGAAAGTTTCATGATTTGCTGACAAAATTAAAAAAAAAAAAATCATCGAAATCGAACGGTTCGTTGCAGAGTTATAGAATTTTAAACATTTACTGCTGTCTCTTCAGAAAAGGCCGTTTCCTTTTGCTTTCTCACTACCGAAGGTGGGTAAGCATTTTTTTTTTTTTACTTTTTATTGATTAATCGAAAATTTTATAATTGCTACAGTAATTGAAATTATCATTTGAAGAAGTTATATGATTCTCCTTATGTAGGTCAATACTATTATACGTTTTTTTTATTAATTTTTTAATTTAGTTTTATAAGTTCAACTCAGACTGTTCCTGATGATTATGAATGACGGCGTATTCACTCAGATGATTATGAATGTTCAATTTGAATCATGAGAAAAAAAATCATTAGAATTAGTTTAGATTGAAGCCATTTTACAGACGAATTTGTTTCCCAACTTTTCAAAAATGAAAGATGTCCTTTGTTACTAATCTACTCATATGTGCTTTCTATTTTCTTTCTTTTTCATTTTGACAGGCTAAGCCATAGCAGCGCGTGGCCGGGTAAATCTAGTAACTTATGAACATAACCTATACAGATCCATCTAGATAGGAATAAATATAAAATAACGAAATGGTAGATTATCACTATTTCTTCTTCTTTTCTTAACTTCAGCCTATGGCTTTTTCAATTTCTACCTTCTGCTTTTCTCTATGCTTAAATTTCTATTTCGCTGGTCCTGCCCACGGTACAAAGAGGTAAAAACTTAACAAAGTCGGCATTTTGTTCTTCAATTCAAAATGTTTATATTTCCTTCATATGAACTTTGACATTAGAGTTTGTAAAAAGGATTTATGTACTTAATAAGGAAAACTAAGGAAAACAGTTGTTTTTTAGGGCATTTTCCAAACTAATGAAAATTTCATATTTTATTTTATGCCATCTCAAAGAAAATTTAATCCTGAGAAGAAAATGTTCTATTATTTTTTTGTGAAAACTTCTTCTGAAGAAAGCTATGGTGGAAAAAAGCGTGAAAATTTACGATTTTAAAACCATAATATTGTATATATGTATATATGTGTTCTTTTTATTAATTTATTTTTAGGCTATTTTATTTATTGTATATATATTACTTTTCTGTACAATTTATTTTATTTACTGTACATAAAGTGTGAATGTGATCTGTGAACACTATTATAAATGTCCTTGAGACAGATTGTAATATTTTTCAATAAATAAGATTTAAAAAAAAAAACATAATATCTTTTAATTATTGTTGGAGAGGTTATAAAATATGACTTATGTCATTGTGTCACGCATAAAACAATAAACAAAACCCATCTAATTTGGTTACGTACAAATAGCATCCGGCTGAGTTTACTCATTTTTCAAATATAGATGTTATAAATATTTTAAAAAAAATCTTTTAAAGTTTTAATCTTTCAACAGCATCCTTAATAAACTCTGATACCTCCCGACAATATTGCCTTGCTCCTATCTATCTGTTTGAAACAATATGGCCTAGCTGTAAATGGCAATGTGGAAAGCAACGTTAAAGAGAACGAGAATTTGGGAGGGATGGGTTCTTTCTGAGCCGAATCGCAACATCGAAAGTATAGATTTCATTATTTTTTATTATTATTATTATTTATGAAATTTTCAACTTTACAATTAATAAATATTCAGCAAATGTGATACAAAGAAACATATGACATGACAAGGCTTGTAGAGAATCTACCAATTGGTAGCACTCTAATAAAGTATCTAAATTAGGAGACCACGCGGCCATTTTCTTTTCAGACACCTAGGAGGGTTATGAGGGATCGAGGAGGAAGCAAGATTAGAAACGAAAGGATTAGAATGGCTCTGAAGTTTATTATGGAAGGATAGGTATCTGGATTGGGCCAAATCGGATACATATGGAACATTCAGGTCATTATGGATTATTTTATTTGTTACAAAGTAGGCAGCATTGAGGATTTTACGAAGGGTTTTGGATTGTAAAGATTGGATACGGTAGGAATGCGATGGTTTAGTGGAGCCCCAAAGCTCAACTCCGTAAGTCCAAATAGCTCTTATTATGGCCATATATATGAGTCGTTTGTAATTAATTGAAAGTTGAGAGTCTTTGTCTAGTAAGTGCTGGAGTAGTCGAAAATGTCGAGCGGTTTCTTGTCGTTTCAGTCTGGTATGAGGATTCCAAGTGAGTCGTTTGTCCAGGCGGAGTCTTAGATATTTCTTTTTTTAACTTAAAGAAAAAAAAATGCAATTATTGAAAATGTATTTTTCCTGTTTTTTTCCAAGGATTGTTAATAAAAAAAGTAATTGCCAAATGTTTACAGGCTCAAAAATTCAACACACTTTTGTATCAGCTAATGATTGACGATAGAACAAATATTATTTTGAATAACGTAAGTATGTTTATATCTGACTTACGTTCTTTTTTTTTTTTCTTTTTTTTTGTCTCTTGAAATTATTTTTTCTAAGACTGTTTAAATTTAAAAATACAACATAAATGTATGCCTCTTGTTGATAGCCAAAACTGAAGCTACACATTATGATGAACTCTGAGGTAATTTTTACTGCACATGGTTTCTGCAAATTAGATTATACCCTCCTTCATTCTGTAAGTTTTAAAAGCTTAGTATATTTTATATTATTTAATATTTATCAGCAATTGAAAAAATCTGGCCTGTTCACTCACACGACTTTCCTAGCTATTTCAAAAAAGTTTATAATATATTTCAACATGTTCATTAAGAAAAAATTGAATTAAATTTATTTTTCTGAAAATTAATCAAAGAAAAGATTTTAATACGATTTCTTTGATAAACTAAAAAAAAACTGTAAACGGGCTTGTGGAATATCAGCGTAAAAAAATCAATACCCTCTAATATTACTAATCAAAACCTTTTTGCCATTGCCCAATATTGTCAGACAAATAATTTCTGTTAAAATAGAGGAAATATTTAATAAACTTGTGTGATGCGGGCACCAGATTTTTCTTTATTTTTCTATCTTTCACCCCCTCCCTTTTTTTTTTTTCCTTTATTGGAGAACTACTTTCAACGTTTTTTTAAGCTAATACATTTTATTATTCTTTTTTAGATTATCGCTGCATCTACAACATATCTATTTATGTTACTACAATTTTGTAAAAAACCAACAGTATTTTGATCTCAAAGAAGTGACTTCAGGTCATGATGCTACCAATGTAATTACACCAACGTTTATACGTTACATATTACCTAGCGTTAATTTTTAATTAAATGAGGTATTTTAAAATAACTTGTTATGATGTTTTATAATTTGATTTAATTTTTCTGCAAAACAATAACTTCTACTCTGGGTTTATGATTATCGATTTAATTTAATTTATATATAAAATTATTTTAAAATGCTATTTATTTATTATTAATGCTATTAACTGATTCTCCAAAAAGCAATTAAATAGTGTGTATGCCTATGATTGAATTTAGTATGATCAATATAATATCTCCATGATCTAGTGGGATGTGTACACCAATGACCAAAAAAAGTGTATGTATATTTTTTTTTAATAAACAGTACATAAAGGAATTAAAAAAAAAAAGAAAGTCAGGCAACTACTCTAGTAGCAAGTATTTATCGTGACACTAATTTTGAAAAGGAAGAAATCACTTTCAAAACAGGGTTAGTGAAAAATTTGGATTTCTCTCTGTCTAAAAGAAGCTCTGAAATCATAATCTTTTCCATAAAAAAAACTAAAGAAATAGCAGTGTTTCATTTAAAAGATTACTGCTCCAGTAAGTCAATGTCAACTTTATATTATCAAAGAAAACATGTGTTTTTTTTTATTTGGAGTTAAGTAATGGTTCTTTTTACTGTCACTTACGTATATATGTAATATATAGTAAGTGTAAGTATTGCGATCGAGTAAAATTTTTGAATCTTAGTTTTCGACGGATTTATACGTTTTGGGGTACCCTGAGTCGAAATGACCAAGTCCCGGCAAATGGTCTGGGTGTCTGTGTGTTTGTATGTTAGCAGTCTAGCTCAAAAACGAAAAGTCCTATGAAACTGATATCACGTATTTAAGATAGGTATATGAATTAGTTGTGACGGCAACTTTTTCCTTAAAATCGGCTAACCGGAAGTGCCACTTTATATCAACGCTGAAACACATTTTCACAGTTTTCTTAAAAACGGCTTTGATTAAACTCGGTGTATCATTGTATAATTAAGTGGTCTTTAATATAAATTAGGTCTTATCCCCATTGATGTCACTTTACAGGGCTTAAATGCCCAATGTTCATATACGTCTTCCTCTAAAGTACCTTTTTTTTTTTATTATGAAATGTGCGGCATTTAGTCTGCAATTATGATTATCTCTCTCTCTCTCTCTCTCTCTCTATATATATATATATATATATATATATATATTATATATATATATATATATATATATATATATATATATATATATATATATATATATATATATATATTACCATAAAAATAAGAAATTATATGTTTCTATTCTATTTGTGGGTAATGAATTACATTGATCCGTCAGACTCGGATGTATAACGCTCGAGTAAAGTTGGCTAGAGTCGATTAATAGAAGTGTTTTTGTGTATGTATTAAAACATCTGAAAAACTAAAAATCGGATCTGCACAATTTAAGCGAGAAATTGTTTTATCATTTTCGTTCTTTATTAGCATTCACAATCTTCAAAAAAAAAAAAAAAAATAATAATAGTAACAACTGTTTTGAATATTAGAACTTTTTTAGGCGTGCTTTGCACTTTTTGTGGATAATGAATTAGATATCTCAAAGCTTAAAGACTTTAAGAGATTTCAGAAAGCGATATACGTAAGTCAATAATTTTTTTTTCACTATAAAAAATAAAAAATTATATGTTTCTATTTGATTTTCAGATGCAATCTTGATATAGCTTCGACGAATCACCAGTTACAGAAGTTATATAAAAAAATTATGTAGTTTTTGTTAGATATTTAGCAAATGGATTTTAATCAAAATTATTCATAAAATATTTTAGTTATCATAAATCCATTGTATCATTTTTATATTATGATATAAATGTCGATCAGTAAAAACAAAGTTAACAAGAGTAATTTATATACAACTTCAATTGTATATATTGTAAATATGAATATAGAACAAAAACAAATTTATATTTCATATTATTAATCTCGCATTATTGATGGTTCCACTTCCATCGTGTGGTGAAATGCACACAACGCAGTTGTCTTTGTTTTTTTCTTGGGCTATTCTTGATATTTTATAAATATGATTTGAGTGCACTATCAGCAAACATAGAAGTTTTACTTCGTATTAAAAAGGTTTAGAATCGATACGTCATCGCAACCACAGCAATAATGAAGACGTGGTCAGCTCAGCTGTCTGTAAATTATTTCTTACTACCGCTTTGTTTGAAAGCTTTCCAATTCCAATCAGTTACTACAATCACTTAAGATGAAGGGAAATCGATACACAAAATAGGTTATACGCTGCATTAACCATGTTACCGGCATCATTGCACGATGTTTTTAAAGAAGTCGAAAATTTTACGCGTTTTCAACGGATCGTAGGCACGTTTACTTTGGTCTACACCAATGGAAAATTCCAGATTTCTAGAAAATGGTTAATTATAAGCTTCATCAGCCAAAGCGCGAGTTTCATTATTTTTTTATATACAGTTTACTTGATTCGTTCTCTAAACGATTTCAACAGCTGGTATTGCTATCTGACAATCTTTTATTATACGGTTACGGCGTTTTGCATTATGGCCTCCTGGATCCGAAGTAACATAAACGTAGGACTCTTGAACAAGTCCCTGTCCAGGATGAGAGCCGTGGATTTGCAGATGTTCTCCCTTGGAATGGAGATGCCTCCGACCAAACCTAGCTTGGTGACCATCTTTATTTACACCATGATGACCATTGGATTCTTCGTCAAAACTTCACTCCTGCCTTCATTCTTCAGCCAAATCCTAAACCTTTTATTCTATTCTCCGTACGTTCTCATAATTTCGATTGAGGACTATGTAGACAGAATCGATTCCTTACTTCGGCTTCGTTTCGATACCATCAAGAAGCACCTACTTCAATGTTTCGAAATGGATGAGAAGAACGCTGTTAAAGTTTTGGAAACATTGATCCTCTGTCACAATCATCTTTGCGACGCCTCAGAGAAAGTTGACGAATACCTTTCCGTACAAGTAACTTCATTATTGTCTATATTTTTTCTTGCATCGTTTTGTGAAGTTTACGCAACTTCACTTTTGTTCAAAAATGAAACTTTACCTGATAAGGGATTGTTGTTGACAGAAAAAGCTATGTGGTTTTTAATTATGATCTCTGTCACTTTGCGAGTCTGTCACCAGTTTGCGACCATCAGTACTGAGGTAATTTCTTCTCTGAATATGACATAATTACTATTACTTGCAAGCAAAAAACAAATAAAGAGCATTAATATTCACCTATAAATAATATTCTTTTTAATAAGAAGAAGCACTACTTGATAATATCGATATTAACAATTTCAATATATTTCATTAGTATTATTTATTTATTTAAATCCTATCTTGCCGGTAATGCAATACGGATGTTACGGAATGGACTTAATCCGTAACAACTATTAATATTAACTTTTATTTTATTTAATCATTTAAATCATTCATTGACCTTTCTCATGACCTTTATCAAAGCCCTAGATAGCCATGTCAAGCTATCTCTGATAGCTTAGAAATAGTTATCTAGAATGTACTAACTGGACAGAAGACACTTATCAAGACTTAGGGAACAATAACCATTTTCAGTAAAAGAGCACTTTCTCACAGACTTCATATCAATTCTAAAAGATAAGGATATCAATTTCTTAATAGTTGATAACTTCATTCACACGCTTCCTAGACCGACTAGAATTCATTCATCCCCCCTACTATTCCTGAGCATATAACCCCCATGATCCTCTAACCAAACCACTCATGCAGTTGCATTCTTGATGTCATACTCTTTTCTGCAGGAGACCTGGAGTGATCTCATGTAGTCAACACATATATCCATATTATATTACTCTGTATTTTAGATGCCATTTGTAACTTTATGAATAAAACCATTACTTATAAAGTCTTCACTGCCTCCGATTCGTTGCTCTTCTCTTCAGCTGACGTCCTCTTTCACCCTCTCTGGTGGCCTTCCAGATGCAGCGACATCTCTTTGTCCAATGAAAAGTAGGTTAAGCCAAGGAGTTCCTTCCACCCGTCGAACTGCGAAACCCACTAGTTCGGGAGAACCCATGTCTGTTTCATTCTTGAACTAACAGTGGGAAAGTATTTTCTTATCGTAGCCCCTTTTTGCGTCATCACCCACGACTGGTTCCATTATTTTAATGTGTTCTCCCAAAGAATGCTCTTCCGTCTATAAGGGTCTACACCGATCCTTACACGGAGATTCACCGGTAGATCCTCAAGGCCTTCTCTCTTCATCTTGTGCCGAAAGTAATCACCCCGCATAAGATTCATGTTATATTGTCTATTTAAAATTTTGATGACATTTATTTTCTAACCTAGATATTCATAGAATATAACTATTTAAAAGAAGGCTCTTATTTTGCATTAAAAATGTTTAACAAATTTTACAATCCACACAAAGTCATCTTGACTCAATCAATCAATACCTCGCTTCATCTGTATAGATATCATTTCCAACAACCATAACATTTGAAAAGGTTTCAAATTCAAATCTATTAAGATAAACACTTATAATAAGAGAAAGTCTATACATAAAATATAATACGCGCTACAATGTCGCCGGCAACAATGAAGGATGTTTTCAAAGAATTTCAGTCGGTTTCAACGGATCCTAGGCATGGTATACTGCAATAACTTCCTGATGGCAATTCCTTCTTGTTGTTTTTCTTTTTCAAGTCTTCACAAGCAAAAACCCTCCCTACATAAAAACCACCATATCTCAACCTATAGATTCATATATCCCCTTCCATGAAACTACTTCCTTCAGTAAATCCTCCGTCATTCGTGCAACCTCCTTATGGAACTTCTTACCCATCTCCATACGTCAAACGACGTTCATAAACTCCTATTCCACCAACTACTACAAATTCAAACTTGTAAAAATTTCTGGGTTATATAATTATGTTGGTCACCAGCAGTTAATTGATAGAGGTCATTTCATTTTCACTTTTACTATATCTCAGTATTTATTGTATATATCTGTACTTTTCCTTACTGTACTTTGTTGATATTTATATTTTCCTTTGTATTTTTTTTTATATATTTGTATATTTACATGCCAGACTAATATATATATATATATATATATATATATATATATATATATATATATTATATATATATATATATATATATATATATATTTTAAACTCTACTATTATTCTAAGGGGACTTCAGTCCCAGAATAAAATTATGTTTCATTTCATTTCATAATAAACTCTAGATTTCATGATGTCTATATTAGTGAAACATTACTTGTTAGATGTTTAATTGTAATTATGAGACTTGAGGCTTAATTTTTGCTTACAATAGTAACATTAATTGTGTTACAACTAATTCAAATATTCTGAAAATATGATTTGAATGCACTACCAGCATACGTTGAGGAGTTTGCTTGGTATTGAAAAGGTTTAGAATCGATACGTCATCGCAAAGGCAGCTATAATGAAGACGTTGGCTTAGCTGTCTATAAATTATTTCCTATTACCGCTTTGTTTGAAAGCTTTTCAGTTCTAATCAGTTACTACAATCACATAAGATAAAGAGAAATCGATACATAAAATAGTTTATACGCGGCATTGACTATGTTTCCGACAACAAAGAACGATGTATTCAAAGAAGTTGAAGATTTCACACGGTTTCAACGGATACTAGGCATATCTTCTTTCGTCTACTACAATGACAAACTCCAGATTTCTAGGAAATGGCTAATTATAAGCTTCGTCAGCCTCAGTGCTAATTTATTTATCTTCTTATGTACTTTTCACTTGATTAGTTCACAAATCGATTTCAACAGCTGGTACTGCTATCTTGCACTCCTTTATTATACGGTTATAGCGTTTTGCATTATGGCCTCCTGGATCCGAAGTAACATAAACGTGGAGCTCTTGAACAAGTCCCTGTCCAGGATGAGAGCCGTGGACTTGCAGATGCTCTCCCTTGGAATGGAGATGCCTCCAACGAAAGCTAGCTGGGTGACCTTCTTTATTTACACCCTGATGATTGTGGCATTCTTCTTCAAATCACTAGCCATGCCTTCGTTCTTCAGCCGTATCCTACTCCTTTTATTCTATTCACCGAATTTTCTTATAGTATCAATTGAGGACTGTATTGACAGGATCAATTCCTTACTGCAACTTCGTTTCGATGCTATCGAACAACACCTATTACAGTGTATCAAAATGGACGGGAAGAACGCTGTTAAAGTTTTGGAAACACTGATCCTCTGCCACGATCGGCTCAGCAATGCCTCAGAGGAGATCGAGGAATACCTTTGGGTCCAAGTAACTTCGGTTTTGGCTGTTTTTTTCCTTGCATCATTTTGTGATACTTACGCTGTTTCACTTTTGTACAATGATGACTCTTTTCCACATAAGGGGTATGAACTGACAGAAAAAGGTTTATGGATGATGGTTATCATTACTGTCACTTGGCGCGTTTGTCACCAGTTTGCAACAATCAGTAATAAGGTAAATTCTTCATTCAATCTGTTATAAATACACCTAAAAATGTTCTTTTATGCACTTGGGTACTTCTCTCTTAGCGGGTAGAGTCCGACTGCTATCCGCCAATGTTTATAACCTTAACAATGATAAGCTCTTCGTATTCGTATATATTGTATTATATTCATTTTATTATGTGTTCGTATTCATATTGATTGTATTGTATTGATATTATTGAAATTGTGAACAAAAACAGAAAGAAATGTAATAATAAATGCTTTTATTTCACAACGTATATTTAAAAATACTTTTATTTCACAAGGTATATATTAAAATATACCAAAACATAAATATATTGAAAAACATAAATATATACCAAAACATATATATCGTAAAAACTTGTTCCATTCAAAGTTAAAGTTAAAGTTAAAGTTAAAGTTCCATTTAAGTTAAAAATTTGTTCCATGCTACGACAGTTTGAGCTGCTCTTTCCCCCACTGAATTGTAGTTAAATTATGGGACCACCCATAAATGAATTTTAAAGCCGTCAAAAAAGAAATCCTGGACCCCTCTAACCACGTTCCTTTCCTTATAGAAACGGTTTTGTTACACCTACGAGAGCATCTCCATTTAATCTTCCCGTCGAACTTCATTTTACGACCATCACAATAATCACAATATTTCACCTTATCAAATATACCGGCGTCTTGAAAATATTTGATAGACTCTTCTTCCGAAGACGGCAATTCCCACAATGTGACAACATCCATAATTCCAGTTGAAACAAAACAACACAATATTAACAAAAGAACACAATATAATACTAAACAACACAATAACTTAAAGAATACTAAAGAACAACTAAACTAAAGAACAAGAAAAACTAAAGAACACAATAACTTGAGAAACGAGATTGGGTCGATAAGGGAGGTTATCTGAAACGAGATGGTTATCTGAAACGAGATTAGATAAGAAGGAAGGTTTCGACTCTACCCGCTAAGAGAGAAGTACCTGCACTTGATAAAATTTCATTAATTTAGTTTTGTGAAGATTGTTACGATCAAGTTTGCCGTAAAGTTTGCCGGATGCTCATTGGAGACGGCAGGGTTCGCAAAAAAATAAAAATAAAAATAAAATTAATGAAGGGTCAATTAAATATTAATAAATTTCTAACGAGTGCCACGCTATTTAATTGGTTGAATTTGGAAAAAAAAACGAAAACCATAAAAATAAAAATAAAATAAAAAATAAATTTAATTAAAAAAAAAAAAGATTAGGAAGCGGAGTGAGCTACGAACTCGGAACCTTTGGGTATAAAAACATATGTTAATTAACCTTCCTACTTGGTTAACCTATCAAACCTTCTTACTTGGTTAATTATGACTTTCCCTAATCCCTCGAATAGGGTTTTACAATTTCTTATTAAACCAAAAAAAAAAAAAACTATATAATATATAGGTAAAACATGAAAACAATTAGAAGAAAAATAAGAAAATAAAACTGGCTGTTATTAATACAAATGATGGATTTACTTATTTCTATTAATTTAAATAACTGTTAAAGGAAATGAAAATTATGAACAAGAAATCAGATTTATAAGTAAACAAAGAAAAGAAAATTAACTTTAATTATCAAAGAAAAGGACATAAAATCATTATTGAACTAAACATTATCTTACGACTTTACAATAAACCAATCACAAATCTTTAAAAAAATAGATAGGAAATAAGAACTTATATATACATATTTAAAAAATCTCAATGCCGAACTTTCTCCAATTGGTACATTGAATTATCTGAGGAATCGGGATCTTAATCCAGCTAGCGTCGTCAGTGTCTTCCCAATTTATCTCCTCAAGTTGTGAAAATGTTCATTCACCAACGTGTAAGATCAAGCGGCACTCGTCGCTGATGATCACAGGTTCTTGGAGAAGCAATGAAAATCCGGTGTACGCCGTAAAACTAAAATATTTCACAACTAAAAATCCTTAGGGATGTAGAGATGGTTGACCGTTGATATAATATGAGAAGGAGTTAGTCGAGGGTGCGGTCAAATAAATAAAAAAAAATTAAAATATATAAATTATTTTAATTTTTGCCGACGTTTCGACCCACTTTGTAGGTCGTCTTCAGGGCGTAGGATGTGGCACTGCGGGAGGCAGTTGAAACACTGGCAGTGGACTGGACTGCCAGTGTTTCAACTGCCTCCCGCAGTGCTACATCCTACGCCCTGAAGACGACCTGCAAAGTGGATCGAAACGTCGGCAAAAATTAAAATAATTTATATATTTTAATTTTTTTTATTTACTTGACCGCACCCTCGACTAACTCCTTCTCATAAAAATCCTTAGCGTGCCTCTACACTCGCGAGGTTACGCCATCTCTCTCTCTCGACTCGACTGTCTTTTGGTTTTTTTCTCCCAATCAGCTGTCTTCTGTTACACTGACTTAAAAATAATATTTACAATTAATACTTTAAACTAGACTTATTATAAACTATTGCTTGTTATTAAAACTAATACTAAATACTTAATTATATATTTAACCCTATTCAAGTTAATAATAAAAAAAAACTTATTATTATTTTTAAACCTAAAAACTATTTTACGAACTAATTTTTTTTTTTCCGTATTTTATTTTTCGTCACAAACTGACATAACACAATGTACGATATAAAGTGTACTCAAACTGATGGTTTGGTATCACTTCACTATTTTCTAGAATAGGCTTTAGACGGTTCAGTAGTAGTTTTTCAAGTGCTCTAGGACGATAGAATGAAGGAGTAGTGGTAGGTTTGGGAATCATTTTGATTGTGTAGAGTTTCAAAAGGAGAGAAAAATTGGTAGTGCGTAAAATGGAGTTATGGATGCCTGTAAGAAAGAAAACAGCTTTTCGAGGTGGTGTCGAAGAATAAAGGGAGTGATTAGATCATAGCCAGGAGCTTTTTTATTTGGTAATATGTTGATTTCTTTGTAAATTTCTTTTGGATGAAATGCCGATGAGGATAGTGATAAGGGTAATACGGTATGTACTGTATCACCACATATTGCCCTGTATTGTGTTTGTCCCAAATACTTGTGCAAGATATTTAGCGAATTCATTAGCTTTTTCTTCGCTTGTTATTGCTCAGGTGTTGTCTGTATGTCGGAGAGAATTAAAGGTATTTTTCTTTAGTATACGTCATGTTGTTGTCCAAATTGATCCTTTTCTATTGTTTATTGTGCCTATATAGTCTTAATAGCTGTCGTTTTTAAATTTTAATAGTTTTTCGTGAAGTTTTCGAGTTAGTTTGTTGAGTTCTTTTTTGTATGATGGATATCTAGTTCTTTGCCATAGGGTTCTAATCTAGCGTTTTCTTTTATAATATTATGTAGTGGCTGAGGTAGGTAAGAAGCTGGTTTAGTGTATGGCTTTGGTGGTCTCGTCGGAAGCCAAATAGCCTCTTGTATACTTTTTGCTAGGTCGTCGACTGCATTATCGAGGTCGTCAGCTGTTCTAATGAAAGTGTTTAACGTATTTTTGTTGTTCAAAAAATGTCTTAAGTCGTTCCAGTTTATGTAACCGTTAATTAATGTCGGGGGTTTAGGTTTAAGGAAATTGTTGTTCGAAAGTTCAAGTAAAATTGGGCTATGATCAGATGAAAGGTCAAGGAGAGAGGAAACGATGAAATGTGCATGTGGTAAGGAGCTTGTGACAAAGAAATCAAGAAGATCAGGAGATTTTGATAGTGAAGTAGGCCAGTAAGCAGGTTAAGATGGCGAAATTCCAGAAAATTTCAAATCTTCGATACATTTTCGTAGTCTTTTTTCACGAGTGTTGGACACTCTAGAGCCACCTTGTGTTTTTAGGGTTAAAATCTCCTCCTACAATGAATGATTTTTTCCATTGTCGAGAAAATAGCCTTTAGTTGATTCGTGGATATAACTTTATTCGAAGCTATATAGACTGAGGCAATCGTGAGCTGGAATTTCAAGGAGTTCAGGGAAATATTGGTGTATTGTAGGGAATTCGTAGAAGCAGAAGGAAGAATATGGTGATTTAAAGATTTGTCCACAATAATTGCAGATCCTCTATGTGCTGTGTGGTGTGGATGGTCAGTTCCGTAAGTTTCGTAATCTTGTAGCTTGAATGTTTGTTTGTCTATTAAATGAGTTTCAGTAATTAGGGCTATGTTTATGTCATCTTCTTTTAAACAAATATCCAGTTCATTTTTTCGTTGGAGCACCCCATTGGAGTTCCATGGGAGTATTCTAAGAGAAGGTGATTTCGAATTAGTCATTAGAAGGATTTGAAATGAAAGTAGAAACTAGTTTAGTTAGAAGTTCTAGAATAGGGTATAAAAGGGATTTAAGTTCAGTTAGAAGAGGTTCCATAGAAGATTTTATAGCTGAAGAAAATCAAAAGCTGAAGAAGGAGGTTGGATAGAAGCTATAAAAGGATATCTGACTGTTACCGTAGCACAGGAGACCCCAGCCACGGCAGATGGTATATTACAACTCTTCGGTGTTAGATCTTTCTGTTCTAATTTATAAACTGATTTAACGTGTCCTTCATTTGTTTCTAGTAATATTAATTTGGCTTTAGAAGGATCCATTATATTTGGAGTCTGTGAAGAGAGGGAATATATCTCTAAACCTGATCCAGAGGTTATATGTTTGACAAATGGTTTGTTTATTAGATATATTAGTTTTTTTAATGTAGCGTATCCTTTGTAATTGGCAGGATGAGCACCTTCGCAATTATCACAAGTGGCGAGCGTTTCTCTAGGTTTTGTACAGTTTGCTGTGAGGTGTGGTCCAGCGCACTTTACACATTCGGCGGGAAGACTACAGTACCCTTTTGTGTAGCCAGAGGTATGACATCTTTGACACTGTGGCGGTACTTTTCTTACGTATAGTTCTTCTACTTTTATTATAGTGTATAATAAAAATTCTAGATTAAAAACTTCTTGATTTGTTGGACATTGTTCCAAATCTATAGAAAATATCGGTAGTGGCACTTTTGTTATAGGGTGTTTTGCGTTACTAATATTTTTTACACTGTATCCTAGTTCTTTGAGTTCAAATTTGATGCCTAAACTGGTGAAAAATTACTTGTTAAATGTTTAATTGTAATTATGAGACTTGAGGCTTTATTTTTGGAATTTTTTTCTTATATCATACAATAGTAACATTAATTTTGTTGCAGCTAATTCAAATAATCTGAGAATATGATTTAAATGCACTACATAAAGGAGTTTATTTAGTATTTAACAGGTTTAGAATCGATACATCATAGCAACGGCAGCTATAATGAAGTTGTTGCCTTAGCTGTCTATAAATTATTTCTTATTACCAATTCGTTTGAAAGCTTTTAAGTTCTAATCACTTACTACAATCACTTAAGATAAAGAGAAATCGATACATAAAATATTTTATACGCTACATTGACTATGTTTCCGGCCACAATGAACGATGTATTCAAAGAAGTTGAAGATTTCATGCGGTTTCAAAGGATACTAGGCATGTCTTCTTTCGTCTACTACAATGACAAACTGCAGATTTCTAGAAAATGGCTAATTATAATCTTCCTCAGCCTCAGTGCTAATTTATTTATCTTCTTGTGCACGTTTTACTTTATTCGTTCAAAACTCAACTACAACACCTGGTACTGCAATCTGACTTCCCTTTATTATACGGCTACAGCGTTTTGCATTATGGCCTCCTGGATCCGATGTAACATAAACGTGGAGCTCTTAAACAAGTCCCTGTCCAGGATGAGAGCCGTGGATTTGCAGATGCTCTCCCTTGGAATGGAGATGCCTCCAACGAAAGCTAGTTGGGTGACCTTGTTTCTTTACACCCTGTTGACTATTGCATTTTTCATCAAAGCTATGCTCATGCCTTCCTTCTTCATCCGTATCCTAGGCCTTTTGTTCTTTTCACCGTATGTTCTTATAATATCAATTGAGGACTGTATTGACAGGATCAATTCCTTACTTCGACTTCGTTTCGATGCTATCGAACAACACCTATTACAGTGTTTCAAAATGGATGGGAAGAACGCTGTTAAAGTTTTGGAAACACTGATCCTCTGCCACGATCACCTTAGCAATGCCTCAGAGGAGATCGAGGAATACCTTTGGATCCAAGTAACTTCGGTATTGGCTGTTTTTTTCCTTGCATCATTTTGTGATGCTTACGCTGTTTCACTTTTGTACAAAGATGAAACTTTTCCATATGACGGATTGGAACTGACAGAAAAAGCTGTATGGATAGTGATTATCATTACTGTCGCTTGGCGGGTTTGTCACCAGTTTGCAACAATCAGTACCAAGGTAAATTCTTCATTCACTATGTTATAAATACACCTAAAAATGTTGTTTTATGCACTTGATAGAATATCATTAATTTAGTTTTGTGAAGATGGCATAACACAATGTAATCTCTATTTATCAATAAAACAGGTCTCTTGGCCATTTTCTTCTTAATCTGTCTTGTTCAGGTAACAAGGAGCAGGAGATAGAAAGAACCAGAGGATTGGAGTGATTTTGGGTTTAAGAATGAAATGAAATGTATTTATCGTGGATGTAGGATTTTACTGTTGGGGTGTTTAAATCGTTATGTATAGTGCTATTTGAAATGTTCCAAGGTGCGTTGACAATTTTTTGTAAAAATTTTTATTGTGCTGATTGTATTTTGTTTATGTGTGTTTGTTTTGCTGACCCCAAAGTTCGGCTCCATATGTCCATATTGGTCTCAGTAAGGTGTTGTAGATCAGTCGCTTATTTCGTAAGCTAAGTGAAAATCTGTAGTCCAGAAGATGTGAAAGTTGGCTATATCGTCTAGTAAGTTCTTGTCTTTTTAATTTCGTATGTATGTTCCAAGTAAGTCTTTTGTCTAAATAGAGTCCAAGGTACTGTACATATTTCTTTGAAGGAACAGGGTTATTGGCAATCGTTATGGGTGGGCATGAGGCTTTCCTATGAGAGAAACTAACGTGGGTGGATTTATTACTATTTATTTTGATTTTCCATTTTTCAAACACTTCATGAAGATGGTTTTTAGGGCAATTTATAGGAGGTCTTCCAGAAGTAGCTACATCTCTTCGTCCCAATGAAAAGTAAGTCAAGCCAAGGAGTTCCTTCCAGCCGTATATGGGTAGCTTTATAGTACGGGTAGTTCTCCTTGGTCATTAATTGAGGGAGATCGCTCTCCATCAGAACCTAAAGTCCTGTCTTCCTTAACAAGTTGGCCCTCAGTGCCTCAGAAATACGATGATATTCTCGGAAGTGTCCGGTACTGCACAACTTGGGCTTAGGGAATCAACGTTCTTACCATATTAAACGAGCTTTGATTGGAAACTCCCATTGTCCGTGAGGAACTGCGAAACCCACTAGTTCGGGAGAACCCATGTCTGTTTCATTCTTGAACTAACAGTGGGAAATGATTTTCTTATCGTAGCCCCTTTTGCGTCGTCACCCACGATTGGTTTCATTATTTTAACGTGTTCTCCCAAATTCTCTTCCGTCTATAAGCGTCTACACATATCCTCAGACAGAGATTCACCGCTGGATCCTCAGGGCTTCTCTCTTCATCTTGCGCCGAAAGTAATCTTCTCGTAGGAGAAGATCAATAGGGGGAATTCCGGCTAAGACCTGTACACCTCATGAGACACTGTCCGGTACGATCTAGTAGCCCGCAGCAGAGCCATCTTTTCGTACGCTCTTGTAGCCAATATTTTCTTCTGTTGGTGCGAGAGACTCCACGCAGAAAATGCAGATCTCAGGAAGCCCATAATGACTCCTTTACAAATTGGCGATGTAGCTGGGTCCCTGAGACCCCAAAAGGCGCTAAGGCGGGGCCTGAGACCCCTATGCGACTAAGTTCATTGAGAGCCAGGGTCATTCTCTACTTTTTAAGTAGTCAACGTTGCACTTTGGACTTTTTCCCAATTCTTATGCCAAAGTAACAGCCTCATAAGGACGTATCCTTCTCCTTGTATACTGAGAGTAATAGGAAGGGCTCTGTCAGTCTTACCCCTTAAAAGAGTGGACTGGGTCTTGGCAGAAGCCATTTCCTTCTTTTTCTCGCACCATCCTCCTACAAGGTTGGCACACCGTTCAGCTTCTTCTCCTAACCTGGCTCTGCTGTTCGAAGCCACTACAACGACCAGATTGCTATAAAAGCTGTGGCGAGTAACGGAACCATGTCTAGTCCCAATGGCAACTAAAAACCGAACCAAATTTGATACTTGATGTATGTGACGTTGAACATGTTTTCTTTTTATGAAAATACTCTTTTCTACTCAAGTCAGATGGTGAGTGAAAGTTGTGTAATGCCCACCTCGAAAAGATTCAGATTATTTTGTCTATTTTAAATTTTGAGGACATTTATTTTCTAACCTCTTATTTTCTAAGGCTCTTATTTTGCATTAAAAATGTCTAACAAATTTTAGAATCCATACAAAGTCATCTTGACACAATCAATCAATACCTCGTTTCATCTGTCTACATATTATTTCCAACATCCACAACATTTCAAATTATTTGAATTGATTCGCAATTACTATAAACACTTATGATGAGGAAAAGTCCATACATAGAATAGACCACACGCTACAATGTCGCCGTACACACATAAAAGACATTACTTCGTATTAAAAAGGTTTAGAATCGATACATCATCGCAACGGCAGCTATAATGAAGTAGTTGTCTTAGCTGTCTATAATAAATTATTTTTTATTACCGCTTTTTTTGAAAGCTTTTCAGTTCTAATCACTTACTACAATCACTTAAGATAAAGAGAAATCGATACATTAAAAAGTTTATACGCTGCATTGACTATGTTTCCGGCCACAATGAACGATGTATTCAAAGAAGTCGAATATTTCACGCGGTTTCAACGGATACTAGGCATGTCTTCTGTCGTCTACTACAATGACAAACTCCAGATTTCTAGAAAATGGCTAATTATAAGCTTCCTCAGCCTCAGTTCTTGTTTAATTATCTTCTTATGCACGTTTTACTTTATTCGTTCACAACTAAATTACAGCAGCTGGTACTACTATCTCACACTTCTTTATTATACGGTTACAGCGTTTTGCATTACGGCCTCATGGATCCAAAGTAACATAAACGTGGAGCTCTTGAACATGGCCCTGTCCAGGATGAGAGCCGTGGACTTGCAGATGCTGTCCCTTGGAATCGAGATTCCTCCAACGGAAGCTAGTTGGGTGACCTTGTTTCTTTACACCCTGATGACTATTGCATTTTTCATCAAAGATATACTCGTGCCTTCCTTCTTCAGCCGTATTCTACACCTTTTATTCTATTCACCGTATGTTCTTATAGTATCGATTGAGGACTGTATTGACAGGATCAATTCCTTACTTCGACTTCGTTTCGATGCTATCGAACAACGTCTATTACAGTGTTTCAAAATGGATGGGAAGAACACTGTTAAAGTTTTGGAAACATTGATCCTCTGCCACGATCAGCTCTGTAATGCCTCAGAGGATATTGACGAATACCTTTGGGTCCAAGCAACTTCGGTATTGGCTGTTTTTTTCCTTGCATCATTTTGTGATGCTTACGCTATTTCAATTTTATACAATGATGAAGCTTTTCCACATAAGGGATATGAACTGACAGAAAAAGCTTTATGGATGATAGTTATCATTACTGTCTCTTGGCGGGTTTGTCACCAGTTTGCAACAATCAGTACCAAGGTAAATTCTTCATTCAATATGTTATTTTCATTTCATTAATTTATTTTTGTGAAATCTACATATTTCTCTGACTCTTGGAAAATATCTAATGTCAAAATGATCTACAAACCCAAAAAGCCACCAGAATATCCATCCTCTTACCGTCCCATCTCTCTTTTACCCATCATGGGAAAAATCCTGTAAAAACTAATCTTAAAACACCTGTACCCCATCCTAAATTCTAATCCCATGATCCCAGATCACCAATATGGGTTCAGATCCTCCCATTCCACTATACAGCAATGCAACGTGTGGTAGACGTAGTATCCTCTGCATTGGAGCGCGGTATGTACTGTACGGGAGTCTTTCTCGACGTTGAACAGGCGTTTGATAGAGTTTGGCACCCGGGACTGCTGTACAAACTCCGAAAATTCCTTCCATCTACATACTTTCTCATTATAAGTTCCTACCTTGCTGATAGACACTTTAAAGTAAATCACAACAATGTCTATTACATTCCGCTTTTTCCAGTTAGCAGGTGTTCCTCAAGGTAGAATCCTAGATCCTATCATTTACACAGTTTATACAGCTGACATACAAACCCATCTCAACATTGCCATCACCACATATGCTGATGACACATGTATCCTCTTAGTTAATAACGACCCATCTATCGCATCCCAAACCCTTCAATCCCACATCATAAACCTTGAAGAATGGTGTCAGAACTGGGGAATTAGAATAAATTCCAATAAATCCCATCAAATTACCTTCACCCTTCGTCGTAAACCAATGAATTCCTGTACTTCAGTATCCTTTAGCAACACCTCACTTATTCCTGTTGAACAAATCCGTTACCTAGGACTCCATCTGGACAAACGTCTAACTTGGAATCTTCATACCAGACTGAAACGACAAGAAACAGCTCGACGTTTCCGACTACTTCAACACTTACTAGACAAACGCTCTAACCTTCCAATTAATTACAAAAGACTCATTTACATGACTATAATAAGGCCTATTTGGACTTAAGGAGTTGAGCTATAGGGCTCCACAATACCTTCAAATTCCTCTCGTATCCAATCCTTACAATCCAAAATCAAATCGTAAAATCCTCAATGCTCCTTACTTTGTTACAAATAAAATCATCCATAATGTTCCTTATGTATCAGATGTTGGCCCAATCCAGATATCTGACCTTCCATAATAAACTTCATGACCATCCCAACACTCTTGTATCTAATCTTGCTTCCTATTCTATTAATGATAATGGCCACGTGATCTCCTAATATAGACATATTATTAGAGTGCTACCAATGGGTAGTTTCTCAACATGTGTTTCATGTCATTATATCCATGTGCGAATTTGCTAGATTTATTTTTTGTATACAGTTGTACAGTATTTCATATAAATAAATAAAAAAATTTTTTTTGTGAAGATGACAAAATACAATGTAATCTCTATTTGTAAAATATACATTATCTTATGGAGTATGGAAGCTGCGAATCCATTGCCCGGTCAATTATCCACTGGTACTCCAGGTAAAGAGAACAGTTCACAAACACAAGGACTTAAGTTGTACATTACCAAGGGCCACCTAAATTAGGAAGCCTTTCCGAAAGGGGATGAAATAACAATCATAAATATTAAATAAGTACATATAGGGGGATTTGGAATACAATTATCAGAGAAGAACAGGACTGGACCCTTAATAAGAATTGCCATATTCAATATTAATAAGCTGAAGGAACCTGAAATCCAAAAACTCAATCAGGAAAAGTCTGATTGAAGTCATTTCATGGTTGTATAAAGCATATGTTTATATTCTTAAATACATTGACTGTAGTTTAATAATTCTAGATCTGATAATATATTTAAATATATAGATATCAACGTCCGTTTATTCCGAAAAATCTTCAAGTAACTATTTAAAAAATTAAATTAATGAATTTTCCTTTTGTGTAATCACAACATTATCATATCTTCCTTTAAAGTACTTTTAATTTGGTTTATTATAAATAATAACTATTTCTCATTGTTAGGAGTTATAAAAAAATGCTAAATATATCTTTTGAAAGAATTTGATAATTAAATATGGGAGAAAAATACATATCCAGATCGAAAATGAATATCCGGAAATAATAATCAGAAGGTATAAGTATAATACATCGTTAGAAAGCGGAGAATTAAAAAAAAAAAGATATCTAATATAGAAAATTGTAGAAGGTAACGGAGAGTGACGAAAAACTAAACTAACAGAATTAGTTTCTAAAAACTAACATTATTTAACGTAAATCACAGGAAATTAAATGAAATTTTCTTACTAAATGTATACTTTCAACACCATTTTTTAGGTTTAAGATTACTTCTTATTAAACCTACAAAGTTGAAGATAACTTCTTCTTTCTTGGTCTGGGCGTCCTAGTTCTGTAGTCGCTTCTGATCTGCCATGTTCAATAATAATTGACATTTCTTCATGTTCGGGATTAAATAGTTAATTGAAATAGCTTCTCCATCGTTCAAATACTTCCTTTTGTCTACCCAGTTGTAACAAGGTGGCCTTCAAAAATATTGAGTCGTTTGACGTGACCAACAACCCCTACATTTTCAAAATACCGAGGTCATATAGGACAAGCGACCCAATCTTTTTGTAGGCCACCTTTTTTATATCGATTTTGTGATAAAATTATCATACGATCCGAATAGAAAGCATATGGATATTTAGGAGTTTTTAGTACCTAATTCAATCGACGAAGTTTGCCAATCTCCAGATTGAAAACTCCCCAATTATAAGAGTTTTCGTAAATAAAATAGTTGTAGGTTCCGATGAGATGAAACTATTTACGTAGTTTCTGGAGGATGTTAATATTTTGATAAAAAGGGTTCTGTACCACGGACTATCAGATATTCCTCAACTTTCTTTTTGTACTCTTTTAGGTTCACAGCACGGGCGGATCTACGGGGAGGGCTTTCGGGCTGAAGCCCCCCCCAAAATGGTAAAATATAACCAAGTTTTATGGAAAAATATATTAAAACATTATATCTTAAAGTATTATTTTTCGTGTAATTACATTTTAAAGGACTTAAGGAATCACTTAAACACCATTTCATATAGATATTTAGTATCTTTCTTTTTTTCCAAAGTAATTATCGTCATTTTTATGAAAAAAAAGCTTTCGGGCTGAAGCCCCCTCCCCAAAATTAAATTCTGGATCCGCTAGTGGTTCACAGATATTTTTTACTAATCTTTTCTTTTTTCTCCTTTGATCTTGTAGCCAGATTCTGCTTTTACTTGTACCCCCGAATCAAGCAGAGGTCACTGGATCCATCCGCAATTAAGGCACGTCAGGTTTCGATTTAGTTGTTTTTTTTTTTTGTAGGAAATTCAGTAAATTTTCAAATAATTATGGACCTAATAGAGTAAAAGTTTATAATTGTGGATTGATGGTTGACTCTAGTGAATAATTGAAGGGGAGGATGTTTTGGATGATCAGTCAAAATAAAAGAAATTGTAAAAATAAATAATTATATTTATTTTTATATTTGCCGTCATTTCGGCCAGAAGTTCAAGCCTTCATCAGGGCTACGAAAAGAACCAGATAAAAATAGGTATGAGAAACTATAAACATTGATTAATGAAGAATTAAAAATAAAAGGTGAAGGGTATAGACTAAAAATTTAGGTATAAAAAACTTAAAGTAAAATAAAGTAGGTAGAATAACAACAATAACTGCGAACTAAGAAAAAATAATAGCAATTGCAACAAAGTACGGATGAATGAAATAAACATAATCAAAATATGGTAACATAAGAAATGAAAAATGGTAGTCTTAGAATAAAATGTTAAACAGAGAAAAGGAATATGAATATTTCCTTAACAACTTCACATTCTTTTTCTCTGTTTTTCATTTTATTGTAAGATTACTATAATTTATTTCTTAGTTCTCTGTTATTGTTATTATTGTACTTTTTTTTAATTTCTTATTGACATTTACAACTGTATTAAATAAATACATCTAGTAAATTTGAACATAATGGATATAATGACATAAAAACCCATGCTGAGTAACTACCCAATGGTAGCACTCTAATGATATGTCTACATTAGGAGATCATGGGGCCATCCTCTTTTCAGACGCCTCGAAGGGTTATCAGGAATTGAAGAGGAAGCAAGGTTAGAAACGAGAGGGTTGGAATGATACTGAAGTTTATTATGGAAGGATAGGTATCTGGATTGGGCCAGATATGAAACAAAAGAAACATTAATGTCATTATGGATGGTTTTATTTGTAACAAAGTAGGGAGCATTGAGGGTTTTACCAAAGGATTTTGGATTGTAAGGATTGGATACGAGAGGAATTCGATGGTTCAGTGGAGCCCCATAGCTCAACTCCATAAGCCCAAATTGGTCTTATTATAGTCAAGTATATGAGTCTTTTGTAATTAATTGGAAGTTTAGAGCGTTTGCCTAGTAAGTGCTGAAGTGGACTAGTAAGTGGAAACGTGGAGCTTTTTCTTGTCGTTTCAGTCTAGTATGTATTATTCTACCTACTTTATTTTACTTTAATATTTACTATGTCTGCTTCATTTTACTTTAAGTTTTTCTACCTAAATTTTTAGGCTGTAACTTTCACCTATTTAATTTTAATTCTTTATTAGGCAATGTTTATAGTTTATCATACCTATTGTTATCCGGTTCTTTTCTGAAACGACAATTATAAAAATAAATATAATTATTTAATTTAACTATGTTTCATTTTGACTGATCACCACAACCGTCCTGCAAAAAAGTTTATATTTTTTTAAATTATTCGCAAATAAAGTTTATTTTCTTCATAATTTTTTCCTGAAATTTCGTCCTAATTCGTCTAGTTCGTGAAAATAATTCATCCTAAATACCCTTTCTTTTGATACTTCGTTCATCAAAACCCATCGTTATTGAGAGCCGCAAAAGAATTCGTTACGGCTAAAAATTACCCTATTATATTTTAAAGAAAGGGAGGGGGAATTATGCCGAATTAAAAGTTCCACCAGGCACCGAGATTTGAACTCATAATGGTTAATTTACCATCAGACTTCCAAGGAAACGCGAGTATTACACAATGCATTGCCCGCCCCCATTGCTATACTGTCTAACATATTTATTTTTAGAATAGAATAGAATAGAATAGAAAATAATTTTATTCTGGGACGAAGTCCCTTCAGAATAACAAAAAAAGTACAAAATAAAATGTTATATCTGGCCAAATAAAAACAAACATAAAATGTAAAGGTTAATATAAATCAGTAAAGAAAATATTAGTTATACATACTATATACAAAATAAAATAAAAAAAATCTAAATACAAAACTCTTGAAATCTTGTCAAGACACTTAAAATTATGTACAATGGTAAAATATAAATATACATTTTTAGAAAAAATAAAAAATACATTACAATCTTCTTAGCAGTAAACTCTGTGTTTCTGTTGAAAAAAAAAGAAAGTCGAATCTGAAAATAAATATTTCAGTTTTGAGCTATATGTAAATACATTATTATGAATAATATGTAATTTTACATAAAAGGTTAGCGGGTATCTGACTGTTTTTGGGACAGGAATTGGAATAGAAGGGTTTTGAATGTAGATAGGGATAAAGAATGTCGAATTTTGATAGGAAGGGAATTCTAAAAATTAAAAGAGCGAGCAATAAAGGAATTTTTGAACGAGGCAGAAGGAATGTAAACGTCGGAAGGTCGAGATCTTGTGCAAAGGGAGTGGACTTGAATTGGAGAAGGTTGTAGGCATAAGAAGGACGATGATTGTCGATGATTTGATAGAGGAACGTACCTAGGAAATATTGTCTTCGAATAGAGGGGAAGAACCGCTCTAACTCAGTGTAGTGGTGAGAGACATGGTAGTATCTCGGGGCACCAATTACAAATCTCACACAACTGTTCATTACATTACCTTTTACATACCTTTATATAAAAAACATATATTTCTACTTAATATTTGTCTATTTTAAAGTTTAAAAAGGTCTGGATATACCAAAAAATATGATTTAAAAACATCAATCATTGCAATGTTTTTACTATATAATAAAATAGATTAATATGTTCTAGAATCGATACGTAACCATGACCGCAGCACTATTGAACAAAAATATCTTAAGTATCATAAATTATTTATATGTATAGATACAACTATGTTTGATATGCTCTTCTGCTCTGATCAATTACTATAATAACCTAAGATGAAGGAAAATCGATCCATAAAATAGATCATATACTACGAAGACCATGTCCGCGGCAACATTGAACGATGTTTTCAAAGAAGTCGAAAATTTCACACGGTTTCATCGGATAATAGGCATGTCTTCTTTGGTATACTCCAATGGCGAATTCAAGATATCAAGGATTTGGCTAATTATAAGCTTCTTCAGCCTCAGTGTTAGTTTAGTTATCTCCATATACACGCTTCGCTTGGTCCGTTCTAAACTCGATTACAACAGCTGGTACTGCTATCTGACAATCCTTTACCATACTGTTGCGATATTTTGCATTGTGGCCTCCTGGATTCGAAGTAACATAAACGTGGACTGCTTGAACATCTCTCTGTCCAGGATGAGAGCCGTAGACTTGCAGATGCTCTCCCTTGGAGTTGAGATGCCTCCTACCAAACCTAGTTGGGTGACCATCTTTCTTTACATCCTGATGATTATTGGATTCTTTATCAAAGCTCCGATAATGCCTCCATATATGAATCCTATCCAACTTCTCATATTCTACGCGCCATACGTTCTCATCGTTTCAATTGAGGACAATGTAGACAGGATCGATTCCTTACTTCGGCTGCGTTTCGATGTCATCAAGAAGCATCTACTAGAGTGCTTTGAAATGGACAGCAAAAACGCTGTTAACGTTTTGGAAACACTGGTCCTCTGCCACGATCATCTTAGCAATGCCTCAGAGGACGTTGACGAATATCTTTGGGTCCAAGTAACTTCGGTATTGGCTGTGGCTTTCCTTGCATCGTTTTGTGATGCTTATTCTGCTTTACTTTTATACTTAAATGAAAGTTTGTCGTATAAGGGATTGCTCCTGACAGAAAAAGTTATGTGGATAGTGGTTATCATCGCTATCATTTGGCGAGTGTGTCATCAGTTTGCTTCCATCAGTACTGAGGTAAATTTTTCACTAAGTATGTCTCATGATTACAACTTTTGATGTTTTTTAATGAAGATGATATAATTCCATTCATTTCACCCTTCATTCATTAATTTAATCCTTTTATACGGATAGAAATACACAATTAGATCTCGCGGACCCCATTGCGTTACAATGCAGTCGGCCACTGGCCCTCCATATTAGGAGAAATAGTTTAATAACGCACATACAGTATATAAACTCTAAATACAATTATTTGAGTTTAAAAAAAAATACAGAAATCGACAAATCCTATCTACCCTAAGAGGATGTACATACACATCAACTAAAATATCCTAGTAGATTGATAGAGAAATTGACATATTAAAACGTGGTGTTATATTCATTCAGGTGCCTACCAATTCCCAAAAGAAACTCAAGAATCTGTTGATATTCCGTTGAAGAACATCCGACTTCTACACTAATTATCAAAATAAGTAGATATAAAAGGACAGTCTCCGGAACTAGTGAACCGATTTTTTTTTGCTTCTTTTTGAATTTTGCAGGCTTTTGACTACTGGAGCCTGCGAAACAAATTGGGTGATCCATAAGCAATAGCTGATGCGCTATAAATAATGTTCTAATAATTATCCTTTCAATTTTCGACCATGGACTAAATTTCCGAGAAAATTCAGTTAAAAATGTTATAAAGAATAGAAAATTGTTTTGGGGCCTAACTCGGTAAGTATATATTCTATGGTAAAATTTATAATAAAACTTTTAAAAAGTAATTAAATTACCAACAAAAAAAAAAAATCATCGGAATCTATCCAGTATTAGCTATGATCCTACCTATACTAGGTAAGGAAAGTATTGCGATCTGGTCAAATATCCGATATTTGGTTTTCGACAGATCTATACGTTTCAGAGCCCCCTGAGTTCGAAAAACACATTTTTAGCTATTGGTCTGTCTGTCTGTACCAAGATTTTCTAGGGAACTATTGAACCGATTTTGTTGCTTCTTCAGAAATTCGGTGCTCCATGCGCAATAGCTTGCGCGCAATAAATGAAAAACATGTTTCTCTATAGACTGTAGCTCAAAAACGGTTCTAACACTTTTGTTGAAACTTTCCTATAATGCTCTAATAATTGTACATGGATGCTCAATTTTCGTACATATTCAGGAACAAAAGTTATAAAGAAGAAAAAAATGTTTTGGGGCCTAACTCGCTAAGTATATATTCTATGATAAAAAATATAATAAAACTTTTGAAATATAATTAAATTACCAATAAAACAAAAAAAAAAATTATCTGAATCGAACCAGTATTAGCGATGAAACAGATTATTCTAGTTTCTACAAATGTTTTAATTTATGACTTTCCTACCTATACTAGGTAAGGAAAGTATTGCGGTCGGGTCGAATCGAAAAGGGGGCCCCAGAGTTCGAAATCCTATATAAAAATCGTTCATTTCGGACAACTATCAACGAAGTTACACCTATTCAATTTCCAATGTAAGATTTCGGGTTCATATCTTGGTGTCAGAAAAGGTTGAATGAGAGAAAGAAGATAACTAAGTGAAAGTATTAAAATCTGTTGCCTGCATCACACAAGCCTCACTATTAATTTACCGCTATTTTTGACAAAAATTATTGTTTGATAAAATTAGGCTATGGTAAACATTTTTTGATCAGCAAGATTAGAGGCTATTGAAGTTTTTACACTGATCTATCTTAAGCCGGTTCACATTGCAAATAAATCTTACTCAAATATTTTCTTTGATCAATTTTCAGAAAAATGAATCTAATTTTTTTTTTCTTTATGAGCATATGTAAAGATATAAATAAATTTCTGAAATAGGTAGGAAAGTCGTGTGAATGGACTCACCAGATTTTTTTCTCTAATTTAAATATTTTTTTTTAATTTTTATGTTTGGGAACTAATTTTTTTTCAATAATTTTATTCAACACCTGTCTTTACGATTTTATACGTAATATGGCATGAACCAATCAACGTAAAAAATTTAAAAAATAGTTAAATATTTTTATCTAGTATTCTTAGCTCGATTTTTTTCAAAACATCTCACTGAGCCATTCGAACCATATAGCTTAAAAATCGGCCAAGTCAGCTCAATAAGTCGTTACATATCAATTAAAGGATATGATATAAAATTATTTGTCAGTGATTTTAGCCCAAATTGTTTAAAAACCATTCACGTGAATTCACTGAATAATTTAAGATATCAAACTTAAAAATCGAACAAGCCGTTTGTCCAAATAATAGTTACGAACATTTAGCAAAACGATTAAACCCTCCCTATTCGATCACAGAACAGTGTTTTTAGCCTAAATTGTTTCAAAAAATTCAAATGATTGCACCGAAAAAATTGAAGTATCAAACTTAAAAAAATATCCAATCCTTCCCTTAAAAATATTATATTTAGGTTAGCTAAATCCGAAATCCCAAACATCTGTAATGCGTAGTTACTTAAACACGGATAAAACATATTCATTTTTCAACTTTGTCCGATCTTCGTGTTCAAGGTGTCATTGAACATCCCGAGCCTAACAAATGTTATCGTATACATTTTTAGGATTAGCCAAACGGATTAGTAGAAAATCGAAAAAAAAAAATCCTAAAATTTCATCCCGTAATATTCAGATCAAGTTCTAATTTTACACGGATGCAGTTTACTTAATGCCCAATGTTAATTTAATTATTTTAGTTGCAATTACTAATGGTAGACTTTTGAATATTTACATTATATTTAGGTTTGCTTGACTTGAAACAGGCTTTGAGTAAAAACTAAATATTGAGTAGAATAAAGTTACGAATTCTTGAGTAATTTGTCTAGAGATCCCGGTTCAGAACCCAGCGAAAAAAAACCGAAATTCCGGACTTTCGCTTAAGCTTCAACGCGCAGTTTTAACGGTGAGTAGTTAGTTTTATCCAATTGATCTGCTCGAGATGTCATTCAATCAAGCTTGCCAAGTCAAATAAATAAAATATGTCTATTTTATTTATTTGACTTGGCATTATTGTTTGTGTCCAAACAATATCTAAATAAATGTCTCCCACCACTACATTGAGTTAAGGTGGCTCTTCCCCTCCTTTCGAAGACAATATTTCCTAGGTACGTTCCTCTATCATATCATCAACAACCATCGTCCTTCTTACGCCTACAACCTTCTCTAATTCAAGTCCTCAGTCCATCCCCTTTCAACAAGATCTCGACCTTCTGACCTCTACATTCCTTCTCACAGATCTGCCTCATTTCAAAACTCCTTTATAGCTCGCGCTGTCAAATTCTGGAATTCTCTACCTATCAAAATTCGGCATTCCCCCATCATATCCACATTCAAAACCCTCCTATTCTTATCCCAAAAACAGTGAGATGCTTGCTAAACTTTTGATATTATAGATTTCTATTATATCATTCATCATCAAACGATAGTATTATACTATACTATAAACTTCACTGGGGATATTACAATATCTTCCTGCTCTTAACGCCACTGAATGCATCTATTGTTTGTTTTTTATTATTATATAGTTAAATCTGTACCTATAGCAAGAATTAGACAATGATGAGTCTACATATTATTCATTATTTAAATACTCATACTCATTTTATATTGTAAGTTTCTCTTTCCTTTGTTATCAGAAACACACCTCATTTTAAAGAAGAACTCAATGTCTTTTTTATTATTTTATTTTTCAAAAGTGTATAATTATAATTGTTCCTACTATACATAGTTTTAAGTGTTTTATCATAGTTTTGTATAGAGATGTTTTTTTGTATATAGCTTGTTTAACTAATATTTTCTGAATGAAAATTAGGTAACTTTGCTCGCGTCCGTACATTGTACACGTGCCCTCCGGTTATAAGTTTTATTTTTTTTTTATTTCTTTATGACATTTACAACTGTATTACATAAATACATCAAGTAAATTTGGACATAATTGATATAATGACATGAATACACTTGCTGAGTAACTACCCAATGGTAGCACTCTAATGATATGACTACATTAGGAGATCACGGGGCCATCTTCTTTTCAGACGCCTCGGAGGGTTATCAGGAATTGAAGAGGAAGCAAGGTTAGAAACGAGAGGGTTGGGATGATTCTGAAGTTTATTATGGAAGGATAGGTATCTGGATTGGGCCAGATCTGAAACAAAAGGAACATTAAGGTCATTATGGATGGTTTTATTTGTAACAAAGTAGGGAGCATTTTGGATTGTAAGCAAACAAGCAAAAGGATTTTGGATTGTAAGGATTGGATGCGAGAGGAATTCGATGGTTTAGTGGAGCCCCATAGCTCAACTCCGTAAGTCCAAATAGGTCTTATTATAGTCAAGTATATGAGTCTTTTGTAATTAATGGGAAGTTTAGAGCGTTTGTATAGTAAGTGCTGAAGTAATCGGAATGTCTAGTCGAGCGGTTTCTTGTCGTTTCAGTCTAGTATGAGGATTCCAAGTTAGTCGTTTGTCCAGGTGGAGTCCTAGGTATCGGATTTGCTCAACAGGGATAAGTGGATATTGTTAAAGGAAACTGTAGGACAGGAAGTCGTTGGTTTATGACGAAGGGTAAAGGTAATTTGGTGAGATTTATTGGAGTTTATTTTAATTCTCCAATTTTGACACCATTCTTCTAGATTTATGATTGAATCATTTGGGATGCAATTGCTGGGTCATTGTTTACTGATAGGATACATGTGTCATCGGCATATGTGGTGATGACAGTGTTGGGACAGGTAGGAATGTCAGCTGTATAAACTGTATAGAGGATAGGACCTAGGATACTACCTTGAGGAACGCCAGCGGACTGGGAAAAAAGGGATGAATAGGCGTTATTGTGATTTAGTTTAAAGTATCTATCAGTAAGGTAGGAACGGATAATGAGGAAGTATGTAGGTGGTAGGAATTTTCGGAGTTTGAACAGCAGTCCCGGGTGCCAAACTCTATCAAACGCCTGTTCAACTTCGAGAACCGGTTATAAGTAAATGAGCAATATTGTCGCCGGGAATACAGTTCAACTCATAAAAACCACAAAAATATGAATCCATCAAAATTAAGGAAACCAAAAGGCCCAGTCAACACACAGCTTAAGGCTGTGGCCTGCGGCCTAACTGCTGACAAATTCACCGAATGGAAGACGATTATTACAAAGGAGGATGCTGATATATATGGGATCGTAGAAGCCGGCTCATCCACTGAAAATATCCAGTTCTACCAATTACCGGGATATCAAACTTATAAACTGCAGAGATCCAGGCAGGTTGCATCAGGAATAATTGTCGCTGCTAAATCATCCCTCAAGGTAACCTTTTCAATTCAAAAGATGATGGAAGAGAATGATAAATTGGAGGCTGTACAGTTAGATGTATGGAAAAGGATTCATGGCGGAGTTGTATTTGGCTGCCAGAAGGCGAATGGCCTAATAGTCAACGGCAGAGGCGTATAATACAAAAAAAAAAAAAAAAATAAAAAAAATAATATTTTCTTTACTTTCTCTTTTTTTATTATTGTTTTATTTTTCCCAGATGTAGTCTTTTAATTATGTTCTATTTTGTTATTCTAAAGGGGCTTTGTGCCAGAATAAAGTTATTTTCTATTCTATTCTAAATACATAAAATAATTCAAATTTTGTCAAATTGTCTGATTGCAATTTACTACGTGTTTGAAAACGCGGATAAAATATTAATTAAGTTTTTATGAACCAGTAAAAATTTGAACAAATGAAAAGAAACGATTGACGGTTTGAATTCGTTTAATCTAAACCATATGTTTATATTAAATTAAATAAATTTAATAAACCTTAATTTATTTCAAGGTAATCGAAATAAACTTGGAATCAACCGGGAACAATTAAATTTAGAAACAAATTTTATTCTATTGAAGTTATTTCAATTGTTGTGAAAAGAACGAAGCAACAGAACACTTTTTTAAAATCAGTTCTGTCTCACCCCAGTCCGTTACCCCTCCTCCCCCCCCCTCATTCTCCTTTCGTTTGTTTCTCTTCATCATTCTCAGTACACTACCAACGGTTAAATAGTAAGGAACTAAACCTTGATAAAAACCGAGAATATTTGGAACTTTTGGATTTGAATAAGCTTTGATTATTTATTTTTACTTGAATTACTGATTTACTGTTTCGATATAATTTATTGAAACCGTAATTGGTTGGGTGATTATCACAACTTGGAACTCGATCCGGCTTCGTATTAAATTATTTAAATTGCGATTTGGTACCAACATCCTTTTGTTTTTATTTTTTCTATACAGTTTACTTGGAATTTGACCCGACATTGTCTTTTGATATTGAACTATTGCAATAAAGAATAGTTACAAGTTGGTTTCGTTTAATCAAATTTTGTGGGTTTTAAAATATTTTCTACGGATTGATAAAAATTCCAAAAAAAAAATTCCGATTTAAGCTCAATTTCCAAAGCCACCAAACTTGAAAGTAAAGTTAGGTTGAAATATTCCCTCAGGAATAGAGATGTTCAGGTTCAGGTCCTCATCCAATTTCACGAAATTAAATTTGGATCCCTTCTCCCATAATATAAAAAATATCTTAATAAAAGATTCTCAAATTTCAACAACGGGTACGTCAGCTAGTCAATAATAAATGAATGAATAAAATGTGTAAACTAAAATCTATGGAGAAAATTTGACTAACTAGCTAAGTAAGGGACTAGTAGTGGGTACGTAACGATATAATTGATAACTAAGTATTACTTTTATTTAAATTGTCATTTATATTAAAAGATGATAATATGCAGAGTTTCCCGTGAGTAGAGGTAAATATTTAAAAAGGCAATTAGTTGACCTCTAGAGCTAACAAAAACTTCATATAAACAATAGTCCGATTTTCTGCAGAATAGTAGGTAATTTTTTGTGTTTTTTAAAGCAATTCATGGTTCATTATGAATATAAAGCGAAAACTAAAACATTGTTTAATATAATTAATTAAGAATTGATTCACTGTAAACTAAATAAAATGTATAATGATGTAGAGGTGGTTGACCGTTGATATAATATGAAAAGGAGTTGATCGAGGGGTGAGGTAAAATTAATACTAAATTAAACAAGTAGAATTATTTATTTTTTGCCGACGTTCCGACCCACTTTGCAGGTGTTCATCAGGGCGTAGGATGTAGCACTGCGGGAGCCAGTTGAAACACGGGTTTCAACTGGTTTCAGAGTGTTTCAACTGCCTCCCGCAGTGCTACATCCTACGCCCTGATGAACACCTGCAAAGTGGGTCGGAACGTCGGCAAAAAATAAATAATTCTACTTGTTTAATTTAGTATTAATTTGATCGCAACCCCATTAACTCCTTCTCATAAATAAAATTTACTTCAAAATAAATTTGAACTTGTCATTGTTAAAACCATTAAAAGATGTCTTTTGACTGGATAAACTAAGTTCTGCCAAAAAAGCCATTACTGATGGAATACCTTATCAGGGAGTACCTGTAGAGGATTTTATAACCGTCATCAAACAGAAAATAAAGACAAAATGGAAACAGATATGGTCGAATGTAACAGTAATAATACGTGTAATACGTGATCATAGAATCGATGCGTAATCATGACCGCCATCCATAAATTATATATAAATATAGATATCACTTTGTTTGATATGCTCTTCCACTCAGATCAATTACTATGATAACTTAAAATGAAGGAAAGTCGATCCATAAAATAGGTCATACGCTGTTAACCATGTCCGTGGCAACATTGAACGATGTTTTCAAAGAAGTCGAAAATTTCACGCGGTTTCAACGGATACTAGGCATGTCTTCTTTGGTATACTCCAATGGCGAATTCAAGATATCAAGGATTTGGCTAATTATAAGCTTCGTCAGCATCAGTGCTAATTTAGTTATTTCCTTATATACGATTAAATTGGTTGGTTATAAACTCGATTACAACAGCTGGTACTGCTATCTGACAATTCTTTATTATACTGCCGCGGTATTTTGCATTGTGGCCTCCTGGATCCGAAGTAACTTCAATGTGGACACCTTGAACATGTCCCTGTCCAGGATGAGAGCCGTGGACTTGCAGATGCTCTGCCTTGGAATTGAGATTCCTCCTACCAAACCTAGCAAGGTGACGATCTTTCTTTACATCCTGATGACTGTTGCATTCTTTATCAAAGCTCCAATAATGCCTCCATATATGAACTCTATCCAACTTCTCATATTTTATGCGCCATACGTTTTCATCGTTTCGATTGAGGACAATGTAGACAGGATCGATTCCTTACTTCGTGTGCGTTTCGATGCCATCAAGAAGCATCTACTAGAGTGCTTTGAAATGGACAGGAAAAACGCTGTTAACGTTTTGGAAACACTGGTCCTCTGCCACGATCATCTTAGCAATGCCTCAGAGGACGTTGACGAATATCTTTGGGTCCAAGTAACTTCGGTATTGGCTGTGGCTTTCCTTGCATCGTTTTGTGATACTTATTCTGCCTTACTTTTGTACAGAAATGAAACGTTGCCATATAAGGGATTGTTCCTGACAGAAATATTTATATGGATAGTGGTTATTATAGCTATCATATGGCGAGTTTGTCATCAGTTGGCTTCCATCAGCACTGAGGTAAATTCTTCACTAAATTTCTCATGATTACAACTTATAATGTTCCTTAAAGCACATGATGAAATATCATTGATTTCGTCCTTCATTCGTTAATTTAATCCTTTTATAATCATGGAAAAACACGTTTAAATCTCTATTCATAAAATTGCATCTTCATTGCTAAACATAAATTTTGGCGTAGATAAGCGGCGACCGAATTGAAAGCATGTAGTCTGCAACTGTCCTTCCATATGGGAGAACGCACATACACAACAGAAACAATAAACACAAATATTTGAGTTAAAATAAAACTACAGAAATCGGCATATCCTATCTACCCTAAGAGAATGTACTATATACATATCTACTAAAACATCCTAGAAGATTAATAGGGAAATTGAAATTAAGAAATATTAAAACATGGTGCTGTATTCAGGTGCCTACAATCTCCAGAAGAAACTCAAGACTTTTTCGGATGTTGACATTCCATTGAAAGGTATCCGACTTCTACACTAAGTTTTAAAATAAGTAGATATAAAAGGACATTCTCATACGGTCTCATTTCCATAGTAGTAGTAATTTGTGTGATTTAACCATATGAAATAGTAATATGGATAATTTTGTTCTCAAAAACAAATCTCAATTCCGAGTTACCAAAATATTCGGAATGTCATTGAACAAGAAATAGTATTTCCCTGACAAAGTAAATAATCGGATAGTATTTCTCGATTTCTGTAGACGGTTTTTTTTTTTTCTAATTCAACTATTTTCTTTTATTTTTACCTTTTTATTTTTTTGAGCATTGACAATTCATTATATTCAAAACATATATAATAAACATCTTAATCAAAACAAAACATATAAAAAATCAAAACATATTATATAAATCTTTACCAAATTTTACATATGAAACCAATATAATTTGAGAACTAATTTTTTTTTTCAATATTTAACACACATTTTTAAGATTTTATACGTAAGATGATATGAAACTAATACAAGTAAAAAACTTAAAAAGTAACTAAATATTTTTATTCAGTATTCTTAGCTCGAATTGTTTCAAAACATCTCACTGAGCCATTTGAACCACATAACTTAAAAATCGGCCAAATCGGCTCAATAAGTCGTTACACAACTAACCACCCCATGAATAAAATTGTTGAGGGGGCGAGAATATCTTTTGCTCTCCCCTCCCTCTAATAATTTGAGGCCAAACAAATTAAAACTATATAAATAAAACAAATGGTTTGTCTGCACATTGAATAGAATCAATCCATTCCATGATATCTTTCCGTTTCAGACATTACAAACACCAAATCCACTTTTAAAAAAATTTTTGTCTGTCTGTATGTCCACCTTGTCCAACGAAATTTTGTCAGAAGTAAGCTCAGCAATGGCTGATGGTAGACTTTTGAAATTATGGCATTATATTTAGGTTTGCTTGACTTAAAACACAGGCTTTAAATGAAAGCAAAATATTGAGTAAAACCAAAGTTATAAATTCTTGAGTAATTTGTCTAGAGATTCCGGTTAGGCAGTTACTTACTTCGATTCTCTTCTCAACCTACTCTACCGCGAGCCACACTTAAAAGTTGTACTGTTCGACTAATGGAAAAAATTATCACAACTAAACGGGAGAAATCCGAAATCACGAACAACTGTAACGCGTTGTCGCTTAAAACACGAATAAAACATACTAATTTTTCATTTTTGTCCGATCTTCGAGCTGAAGGTGTCATTGAACTTCAGAACCTAAAAAATGTTATCGTATACATTTTTAGGATAAACCAAACGGATTAGCCGAAAATCAGAAACAAAAATTTATCCCGCCCGCCAAAATATTCAGATCAAATTCTAATTTTACACGGATGTAGGTGACTCAACGTCAAATGTTATTTAGCTCATTTTGCCAGCGATAAACTCAGCAATTACTAATAGTACATTTTTGAATTTTTTACATTATATTTAGGCTTGTTTGACTTAAAACACGCTTTGAGTAAAAACAAAATATTGAGTAGAACCAAAGTTATGAATTCTTGAGCAATTTGTCTAGAGATCCCGGTTAGAACCGAGCGGGAAAAAACGATATCATTGACTTCCGCTTAAACGTCAATGCGCTGTTTTAACAGTCAGTAGTTAGGTTTATCCAATTGATCTGTCATTCGATCAAGCACGCCAAGTTAAATAAATATGGTAATTTTTACTTTCACTTAGCTATGTACTTTCACTTACTATATATGTAATATATTGTACGGATAAGTATTGCAATCGTGAACATTTTTAAGTTCACGGAGTTTTCAACGAAAATATACGTTTTGAATATACGTACGCCAAATAATCAAGACCCGAAAAATGGTCTGTGTGTCTGTGGGTGTATGTGAACATTCTAGCTCGACGTCTTACGAAACTGACTTATAAATAGGGACTGATTTCTATAATACAAAGCTTAATGCAATACACGCGGCCTTACTCAATCTCTGCTGGCTTTAATACCAGTGAAGTGGTTGAGGGAGAAGCGCAGGGATTTCTTGAAGCCTCGCTTTTCTCTCTACAAGTGGGGGACAAGTCTGGTTCGGAGTTCCCATGGCCGTTTGTTAATATTGTAAATAGGTATGCCTTCGTCTAAGATGTTTATTTGTATTCCCTTTTTTTTTTTAAAGAAAATTTTAATTCTATTTTATTTTAATTTTATTATTACTATTATTTTTTTTTCTTCCCTCATTATGATATTTTATTTTTTTCATATTTCGCTGTATATTATTTTGAAATTACCTTATTTGTTTTTTGATTTTGTAAATATGATGTGAATGTGCTCTATGAACTCTATTATAAGTGTCCTTCATTGAGGCAGACTGTAATATTTTTCAATTAACAAGTAATCTAATACAATAAATAGTTTCATTACCATTTTAAATGATAAATATTTGAAAATCCATTATTTTCAAATACATTTTTTTGTAATAATTGAAAAGTATATTTATGTTTATATAATATATCCCAGGTAAAGGGAAAAGTAACTTAAAGCTTAATTTAATAATTTATTGCAGTCATTTTTGCTGAAAACACGGGTACTTTAAGATTACAGTATATCAAATAACTCATTTTTTCCACAACTTGAGGTGGATTTCAACTTATTTCGTAATTTCATTGTAATAAATAAAAATAATGTTATTAATTTATGTTTATGAAAAGACATCTCAGACAATGGGAAAGAATAAATTAAAGCTTTACAGTTATTTCTTGTAGTAATGTTTGTTCAAAACAAGGATACTTTATGGTAATAGGATATCAAAACACCTTGATGTGGATTTCAATTTATTTCGTAATAAACCCACAACTTAATTAAACTGAACTTTTTTTTTTATTTCTTAAAGACATTTACAACTGTATTAAATAAATACATCTAGTAAATTAGAACATAATGTACATAATGACATGAAAAACCCTTGCTGAGTAACTACCCAATGGTAGCACTCTAATGATATGTTTACATTAGGAGATTACGGGTCCATCTTCTTTTCAGACGTCTAGGAGGGTTATCAGGAATTGAAGAGGAAGCAAGGTTAGAAACGAGAGGGTTGGGATGATTCTGAAGTTTATTATGGAAAGATAGGTATCTGGATTGGGCCAGATCTGAAACAAAAGGAACATTAAGATCATTATGGATGGTTTTATTTGTAACAAAGTAGGGAGCATTGAGGATTTTACGAAGGATTTTGGATTGTAAGGATTGGATACGAGAGGAATTCGATGGTTTAGTGGAGCCCCATAGCTCAACTCCGTAAGTCCAAATGGGCCTTATTATAGTAAAGTATATGAGTCTTTTGTAATTAATTGGAAGATTAGAACGTTTGTCTAGTAAGTGCTGAAGTAATCGGAAACGTCGAGCGGTTTCTTGTCGTTTCAGTCTAGTACGAGGATTCCAAGTTAGTCGTTTGTCCAGGTGGAGTCATAGGTATCGAAAGTTGTTGGTTTACGACGAAGGGTAAAGGTAATTTGGTGGAATTTATTGGAGTTCATTTTAATTCTCCAATTTTGACACCATTCTTCTGGATTTATGATGTGTGATTGAAGCATTTGGGATGCAATTCATGGGTCATTATTTACTGATAGGATACATGTGTCATCGGTGATGACAGTGTTGGGATAGGTAGGGATGTCAGCTGTATAAACTGTATAAAGGATAGGGCCTAAGATACTACGTTGAGGAACACCAGCGGACTGGGAAACTGAACTTAAAGCTTACTAAAATAACAAGTTTATATAAAGTGGGGTGTCTGTTGTATAATTGAAGGGTAAATAATAAAAACCGCGAGTAATTCATGATTCTTTTTAAAACAGGACTTACCTTGGTTTATCCGCCCAAAAGTCGTCTTTAAATGAATTTAACAATGGTAAACTCAACTTTATTTTAACGTAAATTTATTTTAGTTTACAGTGAATCAATTTTATTAAATTATGTTTTAGTTATCGCTTCCAATTAATAAAAAAAAAAAGACTTACTTAAATAAACACAATGCATAAATTTAAAGGAATTCTGCCATAAATCGAAAATATTTATATAAACCTTTTTATAGCTCGTGAGGTCTACTATTACTTGTTTAAATATTAATCTCTTTAATATGTTCTAGAATCGATACGTAATCATGACCACAGCATAATTGAACAACATTAACTCACGTATCCATAAATTATCAATAAATATAGATATCACATTGTTTGATATGCTCTTCCACTCAGTATCAATTACTATGATAACCTAAGATGAAGGAAAGTCGATCCATAAAATAGGTCATACGCTGTTAACCATGTCCGTGGCAACATTGAACGATGTTTTCAAAGAAGTCGAAAATTTCACGCGGTTTCAACGGATCCTAGGCATGTCTTCTTTGGTATACTCTAATGGCAAACTCAAGATATCAAGAAGTTGGCTAATTGTAAGCTTCGTCAGCATCAGTGCTAATTTAGTTATCTCCATATACACGCTTCGCTTGTTCCGTTCTAAACTCGATTACAACAGCTGGTACTGCTATCTGACAATTCTTTATTATACTGCCGCGGTATTTTGCATTGTGGCCTCCTGGATCCGAAGTAACTTCAATGTGGACACCTTGAACATGTTCCTGTCCAGGATGAGAACCGTGGACTTGCAGATGCTCTCCCTTGGAATGGAGATACCTCCTACCAAACCTAGCAAGGTTACGATCTTTATTTACATCCTGATGACTGTTGCATTCTTTATCAAAGCTCCAATAATGCCTCCATATATGAACTCTATCCAACTTCTTATATTTTATGCGCCATACGTTTTCATCGTTTCGATTGAGGACAATGTAGACAGGATTGATTCCTTACTTCGGCTTCGTTTCGATGCCATCAAGAAGCATCTACTAGAGTGTTTTGAAATGGACAGGAAAAACGCTGTTAAAGTTTTGGAAACACTGGTCCTCTGCCACGATCATCTTAGCAATGCTTCAGAGGACGTTGACGAATATCTTTGGATCCAAGTAACTTCGGTATTGGCTGTGTTTTTTATTGCATCGTTTTGTGATACTTATTCTGCCTTACTTTTGTACAGAAATGAAACGTTGCCATATAAGGGATTGTTCCTGACAGAAATATTTATATGGATAGTGGTTATCATCGCTATCATATGGCGAGTTTGTCATCAGTTTGCTTCCATCAGCACTGAGGTAAATTCTTCACTAAATGTCTCATGATTACAACTTATGATGTTCCTTAGAGCACATGATAAAATATCATTGATTCCATCCTTCATTCATTAATTTAATCCTTTTATAATCATGAAAAAAACACAATTTAATCTCTATTCAAAAATGTTTATTATTTTCATTCATAACACAAGTTTTTCATAGTCTAAAGAAAAATCACCATTGCCTGCGGTATAATGCAGTTACAGACCACTTGTCCACCAGGTTGGGGAAACAGTTCATTAGCCTAAATACAGTACATAAACACAAAACATATTTGTTTTTATTAAAAATATTTGATATTAAAACAATTAAAAAAAAGAATAAGATATTATAAGTGGTAATTCTAACTGATTCCGCTTGCGTATACAATGCACTCAAAACATGGACAACATATTTCATCGGACCTAATAAATAATATAATATAAGAAGTTCATCGTTCAACAAAAAACAAATTTAAGGTTCAATGGGTTCCAAATAATGTAGGTTTGTATGGGAATGAGCGAGGTGATATGATAGCAAAACGGGGTTTTGGAAGGACGGAAAATGCGAAACTGCCTTAACAGAAACTTTGTAGACTATAGCTGTGTGGTGTATGATGGCCTCTCGGTGGAGCTCCGTGATAGACTGAAAAGATTAATGAACAGCTGCGTAAGATTTGTGATCGGGGCCCCAAGATACTTCCATGTTTCTCACCACTACGCTGAGTTAAAGTGGCTTTTTCCCTCCTTCCGAAGACAATATTTCCTAGGTACGTTCCTCTACCAAATCATCAACAGCCATCGTCCTTCTTACGCCTACAACCTTCTCCAGTTCAAATCCTCAGTCCATTCCCTGTCCACAAGATCTCGACCTTCTGACCTTTACATGCCTTCTCACAGATCTGTCTCATTCCAAAATTCCTTTATTGTTCGCTCTGTCAATTTCTGGAATTCCCTTCCTATCAAAATTCGACATTCCCCATCCATATCCACATTCAAAACCCTCCTATTCCAATTCCTATCCCAAAAACAGTAAGATAGTTGCTAACCATTCGAGCTGATTTTAATAGAGAATTTGATACATTTTTATTTTTTAATTCTTTATTTTTTTCGTAAAAGTGTATACTGGTCTATAAGAGCAAACAGCTTTAAGTGTCTTGTCATAGTATTAATGGTTTTTAATATAGTTTAGTTTGTTTTGTATATAGAATTTTTACCTTATATTTTTTTCTACATTATTTCTTTTTTTCGATTGATTTTATTTTGGCCAGATGTAATATATTAATTTTGTTCTATTTTGTTATTCTCAAGGGACTGTGTCCCAGAATAAAGTTATTTTTCTATTAGTGAATGGTATGCCTGGGAGTCAATTTCCAAAGGTAAAGAGCATTTCACTATCCAACCTAATGTCTCTCTACGCCCATGGTTCTCTAACACTTGTGTTAAGTTAAGCTGAAAAGAAATAGTCTTACAAGATTAACCATGGTCGAACAAATCGTGGCTTGACATTAATTAAAGTTGAAAAAAAATGATAAATTTTTGACATGTAACTCCATCGAAGACCCATTGCACATTATTTTAAAATAATTTTAAAATAGGTATGATAAATACCTTAAGAAATACCCTCTCATCCAAAATAATAGCGCTTTCCACCAAGGGTAAAGGCTAATCTAGATAAGGGTATTAAGACGTTGTGCAAATTTATTGAAGAATCCAAAATAAATTTTAAAAAATAAATAAATAAATAATAATGTACATTCGTATCTTCATTCCATTATAATAAAACAATAGGGGCAATTTAGGATTTCTGTGGGAGTCTTGGGACGAAGGAAGAAAAAAAAAATTAGTCTATCTAAAATTTCTAGAACGTTTATACAAGTACTATATAAAGGGCTTTTAATTTACATTAAAAAGGTTCAATAAGTTTTAGAATCGATACAAAGTCATCTTAACCTCAGCAATAATGAAGACCAGGTCTCACCTGTCTATGAATTATTTCTAACGATCACTTTATTTGAAATGCTTTTCGATTCCAATCAATTACTATAAACACTTAAAGTAAATTGGAGGAAATCGATACATAAAATAGATTGTTCGTTATATTAATCATGTCGCAGGCAACGATGAACGATATTTTCAAAGAAGTTGAATATATCACGCGGTTTCAAAGGATTCTAGGAATGTCTTCATTCCTCTACTCCAATGGCAAGCTCCAGATTTGTAGAAAATGGCTACTTATAAGCTTCTTCAGCCTCAGTGCTAGTTTAATTTTTTACGCATTTGCACTTTATTTGATTCGTTCTCAGGTTTATTTCAGCAGCTGGTACTGCTATCTGAAAATCCTTTATTATACGGTTTCGGCGTTTTGCATTGTCGTCTCCTGGATCCGAAGTAATGTTAACGTGGACCTATTGAACATTGCCTTGTCCAGGATGAGAGCCGCGGACTTGCAGATGTTGTCCATTGGAATGGAGATGCCTATAAGCAAACCTAGCAGAGTGACTTTCTTTCTTTACACCATGATGACTATTGGATTCTTCCTCAAAATCCCCATAATGCCTTCATTCTTTAGCTGTTTCCGACTATTCATACTCTACTCCCCGTACGTTTTCATAATTTCAATCGAAGACTACATCGACAAGATCGATTCATTACTTAGCCTTCGTTTCGATGCCATCACAAAGCAACTACTACAGTGTTTCGAAATGGATAGGAAAAATAATGTTAAAGTTTTAGAAACATTGACACTCTGCCATGATCACCTTTGCAATTCCTCAAAGATCGTTGACGAATACTTTTGGGTTCATGTAACATCGATGTTGGCCCTAGTTTTCCTTTCATCATTTTGTGAGGTTTACGCAGCATCAGTTTTGTACAAAGATGAAACTTTGGCCAATAAGGGAGTGATCCTGATGGAAAAAGCTGTGTGGATTTTGATTATCTTCACTGTCATTTGGCGAATATGTCATCAGTTTGCTTCCATCAGTACTGAGGTAAATCCCTCACTAATATGTTATAATTACAACTTCCTTAATGTTTCTTTACGCACCTGATAAAATTTCATTACTTTACTTTTATATGGATGACAAAATACTAACATTTCTGACTTTCACTTGCCTATATATGAATTACATAGTAAAAGAAAGTATTGAGATCGTGAAAATTTTCGAATCAGGGCTTTCAACGGGAATACATATTTTGAGGCCTCCTGAGTCCAAATAACCAAGTTCCACAAAATGGTCTATGTGTATGTTAACAGTCAGCTCAAAAATAAAAAGTCGTATGAAATTGTATGTTTAAAATGTTCATATGGCTATTGAAACTAAAAAGTCCTTTTTTTTCTAAATAAGTCTAATTACTTAATGAAGTCTCGTTTTTATGAGCCTATTTTTTTACTGTCACTTACCTATTTATGAAATCTATAGTAAGGAAGAGTATTGCGATCGTAAAAATGTGTATGTATATATATGTGACCAGTCTAGCTTAAAAACGAAAAATCGTATGAAAGTTAAATTGCATATTTAAGATATGTATATACCTTAGATGTTACAGCAACTTTTTTGTCAAAACTGGCTAACCAGAAATGGCACTTTATATCATCTAGTTAACACTTTTTTTAAGATTTTCTCAAACTAATTAAACTCACTAGGTCAATGTATTATTAAGTGGTTTTTAATTTAAGGTAGATTTTATCCTTATTAATGCAACCTAAAAGGGCTTAAATGCCGATTTTTTTCCAATATTTCTTTATCTAAAGTATTTATAATTTTTTTTATTTCAAATAATTAACCATTTCACATTAATTTCATACATAAAAAGTAGTGAAATATAAAATATTAAAGACTTTGATAATTAACGAAAGGAGAACTATTAGATATAGTCTTACCTCACTCTAATCATTGTCCATGTGACACATTCTTATATTACTCAATAAATAAAAAAATATTTTTGTTTTTTAAAACTTTTATTTTCCAGTTTGGATGTTCATATAATATGATTTAGAATCAGCAATAAATATATATATATATATATATATATATATATATATATATATATATATATATATATATATATATATATATATATATACCTAGTTCTGCCATAAATACTGTTACAAAAGTTTAACATTGTTTACATCCTTGGGTATTATTTGGATAATCCTTACTTCTATCAGCTTACTTTCTTTACATGCCAGGATAATAATCCCAATTAGATCGTATTTTTCTTTCGCTCAGTTAACATGGAGTGGGGTGATAAAGAAAATCACATAGCTTTAGACTGCCTTACACATAGTTGGAAAATATAGGTTAGGGATTTTCAACACTTTGAAACGTTCGTGTGTCAGCCGAAAACAACAAATCATGTCTCGGGAAATGAGAATCTTAGATCAATGCCTCGAATAATAAAAAGTCAATTTAGGTAGGGTGCATTTCGAAGAATTACAGGACAAAGGCTAACCACTTCCCTAAAACAAATTAGTATGGATAGATGCAAAGTGCTCCTTGGCCGTTACAAAAATGGTCTTCATCGAAAGTTTTTGTTTAGCAATAAGAAAATATTTATAATCGATCTAAAGAAGCCCAGGAAGTCATTGGAAGAGTAGAAATAGGTCATCACCCGTAGTCAGTGATGGTTTGGTGGGGAGTTTGCATTGATGGCATCACAAAGCTCCATTTTTGTGAGAGAAAAAAAAGGGTTAAAACAGCCGCTAAAAACTATCAGGACGATATTTCGGAACCTGTTGTCAAGCCTCTAAATGATACTTTTTGTTGGAAGTCATTGGGTTTTCCAGCAGGATTCCGCTCCAGCTCACAAGGCCTGGTGAACTCAGCAGTGGCTGCAAAAGAACATTACAGAGTTCATCTCTGCCTCGGATTGGGCCTCAGGAAGTCCTGATCTCAACCCACTAGATTATCGGCTTTGGTCCGAACTGGAGAAGATGGCATGCCACAGATCACACACAAAGTTGGAAAGCCTCAAACAATCTCTGGTCCGAGCAGTTGAGCGCTTCTCAAGAAGTGCTGCTATTGATGAATGGCCATGGAGATTAAATGGCTGTGTCAAGGCAAAAGGGAGACATTTTGAGTAATTTCTTTTTTTTTTTATTCTCTATTGCAAAAATTATTATTTTTCTGTTGAAATCTGTATATATTTCCTTGTAACAATATTTATGACAGGACTTGGTATATATATGTTTTTATGAATAAATGCTTTTAATTTGCATTCAGAAAGTGTAATAACTTCCAGAATCAATACTGAGTAATCGCGATGGCTGCTATGATAAAGACCTCGAATATAAATTATTCCTAACCATCACATTATTTGAAATGCTTTTTAACGCTAATCAATTACTATAAACACTTAAGATGAAGGAAAGTCGATACATAAAATAGAATATACGCTATATTAACGATGTCGCCGGCAACGTTGAACGATGTTTTCAAAGAAGTCGAAAATATCACGCGGTTCCAACGGATCCTAGGCTTGTCTTCGTTGGTCTACTGTAATGGCGAACTCCAGATATCGAGAAAATGGCTACTTTTAAGCACCCTCAGCCTCGGCGCTAGTTTAGTTATCTTCTTATTTTCACTTTATCTGATTCGTTCTCAACCCGATCACAATAACTGGCATTGCTACCTGAAAATGTTTTATTATACAGTTTCGGCGTTTTGTTTAGTGGCCTCCTGGATCCGAATTAACTTCAACGTGGATTCCTTGAACATGTCCCTGTTCAGGATGAGAGCCGTGGACTTGCAGATGCTCTCCCTTGGAATAGAGATGCCTCCAACCGAACCTAGATTGGTTACCATCTTTATTTACACCATGATGACTATTGGATTCTTCCTCAAAGTCCCCACAATGCCTTCATCCTTCAGCTGTATCTGACTCTTCGTACTCTATTCACCGTACGTTATCATAATTTCAATTGAGGATTATATTGACAAGATCGATTCCTTACTTCTTCTTCGTTTCGATACCATCAAAAAGCACCTACTTCAGTGTTTCGAACTTCATGCGAAGAACGCTGTTAAAGATTTAGAAACCTTGATACTCTGCCATGATCACCTTAGCTATTCCTCCAATTGCATTGACGAATACCTTTCTGTTCATGTTATATCGATATTAGCTATATTTTTCCTTGCGTCATTTTGTGAAGTTTACGCAACATCAATTTTGTTCCAAGATGAAACTTTATCTTATAAGGGGTTGAACCTGATGGAAAAAGCTGTGTGGTTTATAATTACCTTCATAATCATTTGGCGAATATGTCATCAGTTTGCATCCATCAGTACTGAGGTAAAATCTTTATTAAATATATATATATATATATATATATATATATATATATATATATATGTATACTTTATTTTATTTTCTCTTCTCCTAATCTTTACGCATAATCACTTAAATATCTTAGGGAACATATGAAAATCATTATTTGTTTTTTTATATTTTTTTTTGTTTTAGTTTTTACAATTTCTTTCCCTACATATTAACAGTTATTATTATTTTTTTTTAATTTTTATATTCCATCAGTACAATGCTTTACCTTTTTATCCTAGGGAACATATGTATATCATTATTTGTTTTTTTTGTTGTTTTTTTTAATTTAAAATCCCCTCCGGCACCGGGACGCGAACTCGTACTTTTTATATCATCTCAAATCTCTGTTATCCGGTTGCCAGGCAACTAGCGTGCTGTTACACACGCTTTAGCCTATTCGGCCACCCCGCCCCCATACAATGCTTTACCTATAAAATAGATTTTACTTTCCTTTCTAATTTCGTTCAGTGATTATTATGCAATTATTTTAGCTCCAATATTGTAGTACTGAACCCCTATTACCCAACTGTCCTCGTTAATTTATCCTAAGAGCTTAATTAATACTTAATGTATTACATGTATTTTGTTATTATTCATTGTAATAAGTCTTTTGGCCAGATTTATAGTTAATATATATGAACAATACTGTTATTCTAAAGGGACCTAGTCCCAAAATAAAGATGATTTTTCTATTTCTATTTCTATATATATTAAGTAAAAATATATGTAATATATAGTAAATAAAAATATATTAAGAGGGCTGGAAATAGTAATTTTTATAAACTGTCTTTATAAACGGCAAAAACTATCTTATTATATTATAAGATTTTTGATCTAACGTCTCCATTAAGAGCAAATAAGTAAAAACTCCTAACACGTTTTTATTTTATATCTCAAGCCTTAAAATAATTAGGGGGGTCCGGTTTATGTCATTTCGTTTAGTTTATGTAGCCCTAAATTCCTGCTGAATTTCGTGTGGATAGCTGGAAGCATTTTAAAGTTATCACTCTTTTTATGATTTTTGAAAAAAACTCAAAGGGGGAAGCCTTGGTTCGAATTCTAATTTTTCAGAAGAAAGACCAATAAAGAACTACTTTCAGAGATTGGTCAATTAATATCCCATGATATGAAAGCACGAAGGTTAAGATAGACAGGGCATGTAGCTAGTAGCAATCCATTCAGAAGCCTCTACGTAACAATAAATGCCTCAATAGAAGACAAAAGGCCAAAAAGTAGATGAATAGATTGAATCAACAAAGTTGTAATAGAGCTGCGTGCAGATAACTGGAAAGAAATAGCCCAAGACAAGCAGAGATTGAAAAGGCTTGTTAAGGTGACAAAAGATCTACATAGCCTGTAATACCAACAGAAACAAAGAAAGAAAAAATAAATCTTCCCATTACCCCTTACCAAGCATGATCTAAAATGTTATTTTAAAATAACCTCTCCTTTTTTTCCAAATTTTTGAAAGTACATTTTGAACAAGTATCTTTTAATTTGGTTCAAAAACATCCTATTTTTTGGCTGATCTATTATAATAAAGTTGATGCAACACTTTATTCACCACTTTCAAACCTGATATCACTTTTGGGTTGAGGTGACCAGCACTAGTAGTAAAAAACCTCTGTTTCCAAAACGTTTCCGAATTGGCTCATAGTTGAGTTTTTCGGGAAAAAAAACAAGAAAATATTGGACATTAAATATAGATGATTTTGAACGAAATCGAAATAATGAAACTTAATATACATGACACGTCTTTTCATATTCCATTTTTTCCACACTTTTCTATTCTATTAGTCTTTTTTGAAAACTCGAAAGCCAAGGTGTTTTAAGTAAGTGTGATAAAAAGATCACACTTATCACAAGTATCTTAGACTCAGATACTTTGAGTTACTCATCCGCGATTCATTTGTTAAAATAATTTTAAAACTATGTTTTAATAAAAACTAATAAAATTGTCATTTTTTACAGGCCAAAAATTTCAACACAATTTTGTACAAACTTATGATTAAAGATAAAACAAATACCATTTTAAATAATGTAAGTATACATATTTCTGCTTTATCCTTTTAATTAAATTTTTTTCGTAAACATTATTTTGAAATTAGTAAATAATATATAAATAAAATCTTCTCTTTAAACATACTGTATATATTTTTACAACTCTATGTAAATATAAAAGTACAAAATAGTTAATTCCTATTGTTGACAGTCAAAGTTGAAACTACACATTGCGATGAATAGGGAGGTAGTTTTTACAGCACATGGGTTTCTCAAATTGGATTATTCTCTTCTTCACTCAGTAAGTTATTAGTTTAATTTTTTTTTCTTTATTTTAAGTTTTTAAAACTTGGTATATTTCATGGCATATCTTATCATTAATTTACAAAACAGAATCAAAATTCCTTATATTTTTTTACTAATTTAATGTGAAACCAGAAATTCAACTTTTGGTGAGAGGAGGAGATAGTGTTGCCAAAAATCGGTCTTACTCTTGCACTTTGAATCGCCGAACAGTTGCAAGACCAAGACCGGTTAAAAAAAAAATTGATTTTTTGAATAAAAATTAAGGCAAAATAGTTACTAATACTTGACAATTTTAGTTATTAAATGTAAAGAATAGGTATAACTAATATAGTTTTGCATTTAATTCTTTTAATTTTTCATTCGTGCCTATTTGTTTGTTTGTTTCGATGTCTAGGCCCAAAACATCCAGGACATAAGCGCCCGATCAACTAAATAACATCATTTAATACTATTTGGATGATTGGTACAAAAAAAAAAAATAAATAAATAAAATAAATAAAGAAATGGATTGATAGAATAAAATAAATAATTAAGGATAATATTAGACATTTATAAGTAATAAGATGTATAAAAAATGTATAAATAAATAAACTTTAAAAAATAGCAGTAGAATCAATTAAAAAAAAAAAAAATATATATATATATATATATATATATATATATATATATATATAATAAAAATAAATAGATAAAAAGGAAATTAATAAATAAAAAATAAATAAAAAAAAAGCCTGTCAAATGTGTTTTTTAAGTCTTTCACTATCCATAAACTTGATGACTTTGGTAACCATTTCTTCCTGATTTCCCAAGGACGCTGATATATTCTGGGGTATTCCAAAATCTTCTAATCTTGCGGTGTAAAAAGGGCATTCCTCCAAAATATGTCTTATAGTTAGTGATTGGTTACACTTTTGACATCGGGGGATAGAGTCTTTTGTTATGAGGTGGAGGTGAGTCAGTCTAGTATGTCCGATCCTCAGCCGCGTGAGGACGACCTCTTCTCTACGACTGCTGCGTCTGGAGCTGGTCCACGGTTGCACCTCTTTCTTTATTGTTTTTAATTTGTTAGGTGCGCTGTTGTCCCACTGTCTTTGCCATTCTTGGAATATGGTTTCTCTCAGAGGCCCGTGCAAGTTCAGATGGTGTCAAAAAAACTTTACAGCGGCCTGGAAGAGTAAGAGCTTCCTTTGCTGCTCTATCAGCCATTTCATTTCCTTTAATTCCTATATGGCCAGGCGACCAGATAAAATGTGCCGTTGTTCCAACTCCATGAAGCATTCGTGCCTATTAAAGTTTCTCCTATCTAAAAAATTACAGTAATATATCTACAGTAATAAGCTAATAATAGGTAACTCCAAGACTCTTGCGCAAGACCAAGAACAAGACTCGTCTTAATCTCGCATTTGGACAATACTAGGAGGGGATAGTGCCACTTTTAGGTTAATTTAGCAGGATATAAATCCTATATAAACTATAAAGTTACCGCCATTATCCGTTTTTACAGTCCATTTGTCGTACGTCAGCATAAAAGTTGCTTTTCACAGGTCATATAACCTACAAATTCTATAAAAATACAGTACATTGCAAAATTATGTCGAATGCTGCCTAAGTTTAACTCATTAGAGTTATTGGCTTTTTTTTTCATAACAGTGGAATGTTGCTTAAACAAACCGATAACGATTTTATTGAAAATTTGGATTAAAATATCTTAGAAACTAAAATTCGGATATGCATGCTGTACTATATAGATATGTTAAGCATTTTATCCTCTTTCTAATGACCTATTATTCAAAATTGTATCTTAAGGCAAAGAAATGAAACTTTGTCCCCAAAATAGAATGTTTTGATGGGTTCAAAAATGCCACTAAAACATTAACGTCACGTAAGGCAGGATAAAATGCTGAACATTTGCATTACCTATTTACTTTCTGAGATATTTCAATCCAAATGCAAAAACACTTCAATTAGTGGACCCGCAAAACGTGGCATATGGATTAAAATATCTCAGAAACTAAAATTCGGGCCAGTTCTATCAACCGTCAAGCTAAAAACAAAAGGAGAAATTGTTTTTAACAGCTATAACAAACTGCAGATTAGTACTCGATGGTGGTTCTAAACAGTATTATATAAAATATATCTGGTATTCACTCATGTTACTTTCTATCAAAATATAATAATAATAAAACACGTCCATAACGTAACTGCATTTTCATCAAAATAATTCCGTTTCACTTTTCTTGCTAATAACATTTAAAAAAAAAATAAAATTTTATAAATAATGTGCAATATATCATCGTAGCGAATATGAGCCTGTTGCACGTTCGCTACTTTGATATGCTGCCGACGATATAAGGTATAATAATCTATTTAATATTTTTCAAGTATTTAAGATTAATAATAATATTTATTTATTTTTCAGATGATTGCATCATCTACAGCATACCTGGTCATCGTACTACAATTTAATACATAAGAATAATCTTCCAATGAAGCAACTTGAGAAGTTGAAAAGTCAACTCTAACGAGTGCTCCTTTTTATTTAATCTCAGAGTGATCACTTTATTGAAGCTTAACGGAACTTTTAAATTAATTTAAAGTTAAATAAAATAATAATTTTAGACTCAAGTTTTTATTCAAAATATGTAAAACTAAGTATAATGTCTTATGTATAAATACAACTAATAATACAAAGTTAATTTTTTTTTTCACTTTTTTGTTTTATATAGGTATGCATGTGTTTTTTGCTTTGTTTTAATTTTTAGGTTATTTTATTTTATTTATTGTATATACATTTTGATTATTATTTATTGTAATTTCGCTTCTATTTATTTTATATTTTTTGTACATATAGTGTAAATGTTATCCTCACTATAACTAATGTTCATGTGTCAGATTGTTGTAATACTGAATAAATAAAAAAAACTAAAAAACAAAACAAAAAAAAAGCTTTTTTGTTTTATTTTATTTGATAAAATTATTATTTAAAAACAAAATGAACGTCGTTTTTCTCATTGGTTTTTAAAATCCTAACCTGAAAAAAAATATCATTCCCATAAGACCTAAAGTTTCATCATTTCCTTCAAAATCACACTTTAATTTCACTTGAACTCTGTAAATAAGTATACTAAAATTAAATTTTAGAAAGAATTTGACTTATTTAGTACAAATATTGTAAGGAAAGTCTTGACGTATTCTGATAAGCCTGCTGTGAAAATATTGAATAGTAATTGTCCAAGTACCCTGCCCTGTGGAACTCCTGCTCTAACACGCTTTATATTGGAAAATTCATTGCCAACTTTTGAAGTAAAGTGTCCTTCTGTCAGGTAAGAAAGTAGTATTAAGTAGTCGAAGGCAGCATACACATCACACTAAAAATCGTGTCTATCATCTTACAAAACTATCTAGATGATATTTCTAATTAGGTCACAGTTTTACCAGTCTAATCTGCTACTGGTCTAAAGCAGCCAAAGCCCCCAGATTGCTCGAATTCTTATCATTCAAACTTTCCAGTCAAACATTTTGAGAAAAATAAAAAACGTAATGTTCTATGTGAAAAACGACTTGCTAAACAATGACTTGGACATACAGTTTCAGATACTGCAACGCAGTACTATAAAAACTTCCACTAGAGACTGACTTACAACTCAAACCAATTAGCTCAAGAATATATTTCCACCACAAACCCGTACATCCCATCCAAACGACTTTTGGGGCGGGACCCACAGATTTTTTTACTTGATATATAATGTGTAATGATATGTAATGTGCACAGATTTGTTTATTGAAAAATTTGTTTTGAACTTTTAGAAAAAAAAAAATATTTATTTTTGTAACTTGTATTGAATTTATCATGAAAAAAAAATTGAAAATAATTTTTTTTATCGCTGCAATTTACACAGTATAAATATTAAATATTTTTTAACTTTCAACTTTGTAGAATGAAGAGATAAACAGTTGGCTAGTCAAACGGTGATAGAAAAGAGAGGCTAATTTTTTTTTTTTCAAAATTAGCGAAATTAGAGCATGAAGATCTCGAAAACTATGGAAGATAGCGAAAAAATTAATATTATTAATTTTGATTCAGATTTCAGCTTTAATTTTGTATGGCCATGGCATAGAACTTTTTTATGGCTAATACGCATAGTGTCCTAGATATAATCGAAAAAATTGAGCTCATGTGCCCCACATTTTTTTGCACAACTTTTTGCTTGTTCATCTCTTAATCTGGTCAAACCAAAGTCAGTACCAGTATTGTTTCCATTTCCTTCGATAATTGTATATAATATTAAAAATAAAATATTATATATCAAAATACGTATCAAAATGCTGAGTGAAGTCGTGAAGGAAAGTTTTGCAAAGTCAGAGATGGTGCCTAAATAACATCTCAAGCTTTTTTTTTTAATATTAATAATGTCTAAAGAAAGACCAATGTTTAAGTTTTTATGCGAGGCCGACTTCAGTTGGACATTTTCAAGAAAAGAGAAATTTTTACAATTAACCAATATTGAAAATATTATTTCATGTTTTATAATCAGTTTATACAGCTGACATCTCAGCCCCTTCAGTTAATAAAGACTTTCAAAACTGGAGGATTAAAAGAAATTCCAATAAATCCTATCAAATTATCTTTACCCTTTGTCGTAAACCTATGACTTTCTGTCCTCCAGTATCGTTTAACAATACTCCTCTTATCCCTGTTTAACACATCCAATACCAAGGACTCCACCTGGATAAACGTCTAACTTGGAATCCTCATACTAGACTGAAACGACAAGAAACCGCTCGACGTTTCCGACTATTACAGCACAGACTAGACAAACGCTCCAAGCTTCCAATTGATCACAAAAGGCACATATACATGAATATATTAAGGCCTATTTGAACTTCGCATTCCTCTCGGATCCAATCTTTACAATACAAAATCCTTCGTAAAATCCTCAATGCTCCTTACTTTGTTACAACTAAAATCATCCATAACGACCTTAATGTGCCCCATGTTTCGGATTTTGCCCAATCCAGATACCTATCCTTCCATAATAAATTTCACAACCATCCAAACTCTCTCGTTTCAAACCTTGCTTTCTCTTCGATTCCTGATAATCCTCCGATGTGTCTGAAAACAAGTTGGCCCCGTGATCTCCTAATGTAGAAATATTATTAGAATGCTACCAGCGGGTAGTTTCTCTTGTTACCATATTATGATACTCAATTGTTCACATTTACCAGATGCATTTTTATTTATAATACAGTTGTAAATGTCATGAATAAAAAAAACGCTGCAAATTATTTCACAATGGTTTATTTTTTCCAAAGAATTATACATCTAAAGTAACAATACCTTCCTAGTTACAAAGAAAAATAAATAAAAGGTGATTTCAATTATTGGACTAAACTTCTTTAGTAACATGCTTAAAAACAAATAGCATTACTTCAGTAACAATTTCAGAATTTAAAAACCAAAACAAAGGATATAACCTTTGCAGTAGAACATATAGAACAAAACTAGAGACCATATCTTTGCTCCTAATTGTCCAATTTTAACGATTTTTTAAATTTTTGTTTTAGGAAATTCGTTAAAATTTTAAAAAACATATACAATATCGACAAAAAATTGTATACTTTTTGAGTTATCCGGAATTTAATTTTACCATCCCTCGTAACTTATTTTCCAGCTACTTTTCGATGAAGTATGTTATACAGATAAATTTAGAGGGCGTCGAGTTAATGACTTTAGCGAAGTTTCATTGAAATCGGTAATGTAATCAAGGAGGATGATCCTCGGGTGAGCTCTGATTTTGTATCCAAATTTGGAAAAAATCGGTCCAGTAGTTTCGGAGAAAATGCGCGGACGGCGTGTTCGTTTTTCGAATTCTACATATCCTGAAACGTAAAACCTCAAATTTGGAGAGGAGGTTAAGTTTTTTAATGTTTTGGTCGATTACAATGATTCATTATTGAAAATAATAAACCAAAAATATTTTAAAATCGTGATATTTCTACTATAAGTACTTTGATTTCGATGAAATTTCCTTTATTAGGAAATTCAAATACGTTTGAAACATCTTATCACAATATCGACCAAAAAGTGTATACTTTTTGAGTTATTGAGAATTAAATTTTAGCATCCCTCGTAACTTTTTTTCCAGCTTCTTTTCGTTGAAGTCATTTATATAGATAAATTTATTATTGAAAATAATAAATCAAAATGCTTTGTAATAAAAATCATGTTATTTATTATTTAGAGAATCTGATAATATACGTATTTATTACGAATATAAAGCGAGGAATGATATTATAACAGAGTTACAATTTATAAGGATTTTTTTTTTATACTTCATATTTTGCTTCTTTGCATTTTGAAAAATAAATTCTCAAATTTTGAAAGAGGGAGGTATTTGTTTCCCACAAAGATTTATTATTGAAGTTAATACACTAAAAGGACTACCAATCGATGCAAAGTAATCTTGATAGCTAGAATAATGATCGAAGAGTTATCAACTGTCAATAATTTATTTCAAACTACCTCTTCATTTGGAATTCTTACAATTATTATCTATCCTCACTTAAGATGAAGCAAAGTCGATAAACCGACACAAATAGGTTTCATGTCACAACTATGTCACCAGCTCGATCAAAGGACGTTTTCAGTGAATACGAAAAATTTACTCGGTTCCAACGGATTACAGGCATGTCTGCGTTGATCTATTGCAATGGAAAACTCGTAATATCGAGAAAATGGCTCATCACAAACTTTCTCATTATCATCAGCATAACCTTAACGTTCATCTGTGTGTTCATTCCTATAAGTAAATCGCTGATTAGTATAAGTAAGTGGTACTACTTTCTAAAAACCGGTTATTCGGCAGTTTTGATCCTCATCATCATGGGATCGTGGATCCATGGCTACAGAAACGTGGATCTGTTGAACACATGCTTGATCAAGATGAGAGCCGCGGACTTGGAGATGCTTTTCCTCAGGAAGGAGATGCCACTGACTAAACCGAGCTGGGTAACCTTCTTACTTTACATGCTCATGACTACAGGATACTTCCTCAAAGCCCCTGTAATGTCTTCATTCTTCAGCTTTTGCCAACTCTTCGTACTCTATTCACCGTATATTCTCATAATTTCGATTCAGGACAACGTTGATAGGATCGCTTACTTACTTCGGCTTCGTTTCCAAGCTATCAAGAAGCACCTTATCCATTGTTTCAAAATGGAAGCGAAGAAAGCTGTTGTAGTTTTGGAAAAACTAGCCCTCTGCCACTACCACCTCAGTGGTTCCTCAGAAGACATCGATGAATATTTTTCAGTTCAAGTTACATCGATATTAACTGTATTCTTCCTCGTATCATTTTGTGAGGCCTACGCGATTTCGATTTTGTATAAAGATGAAAATCTGTCTTATAAGGGATTGGTACTGACAGAAAAAATCATGTGGTTATTGATCACCTTCACTACCATTTGGCGAGTTTGTCATCAGTTCGCAACCATCAGTGTTGAGGTAAAATCATTCACTGAATATGTATTTTCATTAAATAAACAGGAATGTTTACAGAATATAATCTCGACTTAGAAAATATATACTATGTTCATGAGTAAACAAAAGTGTAAAAGGTAATGTGTGGTAAGTAGGCACAAGTTTTTTAAAGTTTTACTGATAAAATATGTAGGAAAATATAATTTTTTCAACGGAAATAATTATGTAAAATGGTCAGTGTTTGTATTTGAACGTTTTAGTTAAAAAACGAAAAGTAGTACGAAACGATTGGGTTGACCGAAAAATAATGCAAAATTTTTATTTTTATTTATTTATTTTTTTTTTTATTTCTTTATGACATTTACAACTGTATTACATAAATACATCAAGTAAATTTGGACATAATTGATATAATGACATGAATACACTTGCTGAGTAACTACCCAATGGCAGCACTCCATATCCAATGATATGACTACATTAGGAGATCACGGGGCCATCTTCTTTTCAGACGCCTCGGAGGGTTATCAGGAATTGAAGAGGAAGCAAGGTTAGAAACGAGAGGGTTGGGATGATTCTGAAGTTTATTATGGAAGGATAGGTATCTGGATTGGGCCAGATCTGAAACATAAGGAACATTAAGATCTTTATGGATAATTTTATTAGTGACAAAGTAAGGAGCATTGAGGATTTTACGAAGGATTTTGGATTGTAAGGATTGGATGCGAGAGGAATTCGATGGTTTAGTGGAGCCCCATAGCTCAACTCCGTAAGTCCAAATAGGTCTTATTATAGTCAAGTATATGAGTCTTTTGTAATTAAAAGGAAGTTTAGAGCGTTTGTCTAGTAAGTTCTGAAGTAATCGAAAACGTCGAGCGGTTTCTTGTCGTTTCAGTCTAGTATGAGGATTCCAAGGTAGTCGTTTGTCCAGGTGGAGTCCTAGGTATCGGATTTGCTCAACAGGGATAAGTGGAGTATTGTTAAAGGAAACTGTAGGACAGGAAATCGTTGGTTTACGACGAAGGGTAAAGGTAATTTGGTGGGATTTATTGGAGTTTATTTTAATTCTCCAGTTTTGACACCATTCTTCTAGATTTATGATGTGTGATTGAAGCATTCGGGATGCAATTGCTGGGTCATTATTTACTGATAGGATATATGTGTCATCGGCATATGTGGTGATGACAGTGTTGGGACAGGTAGAAATGTCAGCTGCATAAACTGTATAGAGGATAGGACCTAGGATACTACCTTGAGGAACACCAGCGGACTGGGAAATTATTTTTATTTAAAATAAAATTTGTATTTGTATGTAATTTAAAATAATAATTTTGCACGAATGAAAACACTTATTAATGCTCTTCCAAACGATAAGGTTTGTATATCTCTGTAGCATTTCGCTGCTTAGAAATAGTTCAGTCTTTACTAAGATTTCAACGCATTATTTTGGCGTAAGTTTGTTTTAAGAGTTTAAACTCGGCCGGGGTGGTGTCCAGATGCCTTGAAGCATCAATCAGGTCTGGGGCGAGAGCAGAATTTTTGAGTGAGCTGTTCAACGGTGGTTCAAAAAATTTCGGGAGGGAGGCTTCAGCCTTGAAGACAAAGAAGGTTGTGAAAGGATTTCCTCTCTTGATGAGCATGTTTTGTGGGCTTTGAAAACCCAGAACAGCTGTTCGAGAACTTGCAGGAAAACCCAATCTTAGCCAATCGACCGTTGATGGCTTCCTTAAGGCGATTGGAAAGTTAAAAAACGCTTGAAAATTGGATTCCATGCACATTAAACGACCGCCAAAAAAAAAACAGCATTATGAAGATTGTGAAGACCCTTCATCTATGGCCAATCAAAAAAGGCCCATTTTGTTGAATGACAACGCCCAACCATATGACTCACCTGTAACGTCACACAAACTGTGTTAGAGATTGGATATGAAACTCTGCAACATCCACCCTACTCTCTGGACCTCTCGCCGACGGATTATCATTTTTTTAGATCACTGGACCACTACTTATGTGAAAAAAAATGCGTTTTTGGAGTTTAAAAATTTTAAAGAAAAGAAATTCTATTCTGAGGTAATGGAAAAGTTGCCAACATGCTGGCAGAAATATATTGATAGTAGTAGAGACTATTTTGATTAAATGAAACTGTTGTAAATTTTCTTTTTTCTTTTTAAACCAACATCCTGTATTATTTTGCGAACAATAAAAAAAAAATTGAGTATTTAAAGTTTGCATATGCCTGAGATGTACAGCAACTTCTTCGTCAAAATAGGTCTGCCTGAAGTGCCTCTTTATATAATTGATTTTTCATATTTTTACAATTTTCTCGAAAACGGCACTAACGACTTTTAATATAATGTAGATCGTATGGGCATTGATGTCCTTTTATGTAGAATTAAATGCCAAATTCTCAAAAATTCTTCCTCCAAAGTGCCGTTAAGTTTTTTTATTTAAAATAATTAACCACTTCACATTGTAAACTGCTAAAAAAAAAAATTGGCTAAAATAAAATATGAAAGAATTTTATTATTAACTACAGGAGAACTAAGAAATTGTGTATGATGAGAACCAAAGAACCCCGAACGAGCACCCGAGCTTAGCCGAAAGATTACAATAGACTTCCATACGTAACACATGTTTAACATAATAACATAAACGGGTCTTTTGTACCATCCCGAATATCCGAAACGCGTGGAACGCTCCCTTAGCAATAATGAGAACCATGTGAGGACCATAAATATAGTCACTGTTTTATAACATCATTTTTGCAATCAATCAAAGCAAATTAGCTGAAAGGAGTCAGAAACATGAGAAACATAGAAGTATTACTTTTTGACGAAACGTTCAAGTATAGTTAAAGAAACGTCTATTCATGAGGCGTATTTATTTATTAGGATACATTTAGTGTTATTTACACCATTGGGAGTTAACCCTCACACATTTGTTCATTCCTTGTTTTTATTTTTCTAGGAATTTAATGAAACTGTTAATAACAATTTGTTGCAGGCCAATGAATTCAACACACTTTTGTACAAACTTATGATTGATGATAAAACAAATAGTATTTCAAATAATGTAAGTATTTTGTTTTATTATACTTATACACTAGCTTTACCCGGCCACACCTACAGTCTGGCAAAATGGAACATAAAGAAAATAGGAAGCACATATAAGTGGCTTACCATCAAAGGACATCTGTGTTTTTAAAAAGTAAAAAAAAAAAATTGTAACATAACTTCAATTTAAACTAATTCTAACGAGGTTTTTTTTTTTTCACGATTCAACTTGAACATTCTTAATCATCAGAGTGAATATAACACCATTCTTAACCATCAGAAACAGTTTGATTTGAACTTATAAAACTAAAATTGACTTTATCTCCGCTTTCTGAGCAGAGATTCGTCTTTGATATAAAGCCTCTCATATATTTTCATATTTAATTTTATTATTAATTATTTCTACATTTAATGTATTGTTTAATATTCAATTTTGTGTTTGATTATTTTATGACAAGAAAAAATGTAAATGTTCGTTTGTTCAAAATCTTAAATTTCAGAAAGTTCTTCAGACATTGCCTTAAAATTTTGGCTTAGCGTTGCTTTTAAATACGTGTGTGGTTTATTAAACCTACTATTATAACATTTAAGGTAAAACTATCCGTATTTATTAAAAATGAATCATCAGTTGGATGTAAAAGCAACACATGCTGTTCAAAATATTGACGATACCGTTTCAATGTTAAAGATTTTTAATTATCAAACGTGGCAACGCATTGAAATTGCGCTATGCCATTTACCATGGCATTCATTTCGTGTCCATTTGAGCTGCCTTCCACCTCTCTCAAGAGATTTCGCATACCCTTCCTAAGATAGTTTAGTGCTTGCTTCTTCTTAATAACGACTTGATTAAATATAGAATCCTAAAAATTGTAGCGGAAAAATAAACCATACTCATGAAAGAAATCCTATGGTAAATGACAGCATTATTCCAATGTAATGTCAAACAAAATAATTTATTTAAAAAAAAATAAACTGAAATCAATGAAATCTGATTTCTAAAAGGAACATAAACGTTGATAATTATTAGTGAAGGATTATTTATTTTTAAATAATAGCATATCAAATATTTGAGATATAACATACTACTTCCCGAATACATTGGGGAAAAATAAAACTTTAATATAAAGAGCGAATAATAGTATTGATCTACATAAGGAGAATATCACTTCTTCAAATGATAATCTCAATTACTGCATTAATTATAAAATTGTCGATTAATCAATAACCAAAAAAGGGGGAGGGAGGAAATGTCCTTTTCCGAAGAGAAATTAATAAATGTTTAAAACTCTATAACTCTGCAACAAATCGTCCGAGTTCTATTTTATTTTTTAATTTGTAGGGAATTCATGATGGTTTCAAATAAATATGGTTATCATCTAAAAATGTGTACTGTTTTTAATTGTTCGCAAATAAAATTCCGAATTCATCGTAACATTTTTGTAGTTTGCTTTCGAGAAATTATGTTATATACATAAATTAAAAGAATTTCAAGAGGAAGAGTTTAGCCAAGTTTCATTAAAATCGTTACAGTTTATAGCGACACGTTTTTCTGCCGCCAATTCGAAATGAAAGCCCGGATGGTAATGAAATGTTAAAAAAATACTCCTGAATTCAATTGAAACGCTGTGTCGAAATTTCAAAGCAATCTGTGAAGAACTTTCGGAGATTATTTGTTTCGAACAATAAAACATTTACATTTTTTTTCGCATATAAAATTATCGTAAGACAGAAGTACTATGCGAAAAAATTTTAGCGGGAGTGTACGTAATAACTTCCCAAAGCTTCATGGCGATCGGATGAATGAATTAGTAGTGCATTAACGACAAACAGACAGACATACATTCATTTTTATATTCAATACTAAACCTTAATCGACAAAAAAAAATTTTAACTCCCCTGTTAAATTTGAGATTTTAAGTCAAGATACGTAGAATCCAAAAATCGAATATAAAAAAAAACGTCCGCCCATCGCCCGTGGATTTTCTCCGAGGCTCTGGACCGATTGTTTTGAGATTCAGTGTCAATGTCAAAGGGAACCCG